AATGAATTATCAGCAACAAAGCCTTCTAGACGTCATAATTGTCTGTACCTAAGGTTTTAATGTAAAGGGTGGCTTTAGTTTTATTAGCAATAATATTAAATTCTGTAAAAGGATGGTTTATTTTTCGCGGGAAAAGATTTGTTTACGACTTTGTCAGTTTGAAAGTGTTTTTGTCAGTTTTAATGTCATGCATTACTTCGGTGCAATTGCAATACAAAATCAAAATCTTTTATTCTGTATAAAACAGTTCTTTTGAATTACCTACAAGGTTTTATTGGCAAATGCTTCACAAGGCGTAGGATCACAATGGAAATGAAACAGGAAGCTGGAGCAGGTGCGAATGAAGACGACGAAATACTGTAATGCAGTCCCGCACTTAGCCAAACAAGTGATTCGCATTAATTTGTTTTAATCATGGACATATAGCATCAAGGATTTGTATACAAATCCTTGATAGCATGTAGTTGAAAATTTTAAGGTTGGAAATTTCGTTTAAAAATGAGTTGTCTTTCTTCAGTAAGTAAGTAAATAAATTATATTTAGAGTCACATGATGATAATTTTGAATGCACGTCGTTTCGTAACCTGGTCGTTTCGTACCTGGTCGATTCGTAACTACGTTGTTTTGTAACTGAGAAGTTTCGTACCTTTTGTAATTATATATGGTTATAAAGTGTTAGTTTAAATTAATTAGTTTAAATGAAAAAGTTAAAATTATTATTTAAAAATGATCAAATTGTTCATCTAATAATAACAATATTGTAATATTTTTAATTTAAAATTTTATGAAATCTTTTTAATTATTGGCTAATTGGCTAATTGGTAATTACGCTCGGTGACAGCTTTAATGGTTTTATGACAACTAATGACAGGTAATAAAAAGTAATTACAGTAGGTGAAAAGTGATTAAGTAGATTAATGGCACACGACCTGAAAAAAATAATTATTTTCTCCTTTTTTTTTACTTTTACATGCAATTGCATAACCCTCCTCCTTTTTCACCCGGGCTGGGGACCGGCGTTGGCGGAGTTAAATTTTTTTTTTAAGAACACTTTATCTTACTCTATTCTTTTTCTACGATTACATTGTCTCTTTAAATTAGTGATGGCAGGACGACTTGCCTCCGGTAGGTTTACGATAGAAAAAAAAGAAGATAAATAAAGAACTAAGCAACATAAAGATGAGTGGTGTCAAGTATTGGAGACATCAAAGCACGTGGCAGAAGACTAAATACTTTGATAAAGACGGGGTACATCTAAATGATGATGGACAATTCAAATTCTTCTGTTAACGTTCTATTCGCATGTGTGCAAAACTGTACTTGTAAAGTGTAAATTTATGTGCAATCAATTATTTAATAAATAAATATAGATATATATATATACATACATCACTAGTTAAGTCTTTTTATTACTTTTTACGTAACCTACTACTCTTATTGTTATTATATATTGATATAAGGTTACAAAACGTCTCAGGTACGAAACGACCTAGTTAAGTTACGAATCGACTAGTTACGAAACGACCAGGTTACGAAACGACCTGCACCCATAATTTTATGGCAGTGGCTTAGGTGCTATTTTCAGGGATGATTCTACTATATAGTTTAGGTAAGCGGCCCTAAAATCGGCCGGCTGCCCCAAAATAATTTATGTGAACATAAATTCCCAATTCAGAAAAAAAAATAAAATAAGATGATCCAAATAATTAAATATTATAAAACAATGGTTCAGTGCTTACATTTCCTGTTTCTAAGGGTAACAACTAAAGTAAAACTATGGCAACCTTCTACATATTAAACAGCAAGCAACAATCACAAACAAATCTTGTCAATAAAGTACTCAATTTTTTGTAATTCCTTTTCTGAATTCAACAGTTGGCCAGTCCAATTTGAAATCCATTTAAATCAAGGTAAATTTATAAAGATGACCAGTTGTTGAAAAAAATACCAAATGGATGATTTTTTTCAGTGGTATATGTTAGCTGTTATATATGTTAAAGGTTACCATAGCTAAGATGCAAACCTTCAAAAGATAGTGCATCATGTTCAATGATCTTCATGAAACAACTTTTCTGGTTTCAATCAACTAAATGTCAAGCGATCTGGTAATCATATATATCATAATCAGTAGCCTATCCAGGATTATTCTAAATGTTACAACTTCTTTACAGCAGTCAGTGTAAAACTTAATACATTTTCCGTTTTTACAGGAAAATAATGTTATATCCTCTAAGATTTTATGATAAAAAAATTCCCAATTGGGATGAAAATTCCCAATTTGATGGTCAAGGGACCCATTTGAAAACACCTGGAATCATCCCTGTATTTTACTGGCTCCGGCAAAAAACCTCCTTGTCGGCTCTGACTAAATAGCGATTTATATAGAGTTTTGCTATTTTGCCGGTCTTATTTCAGATTTTTTTCAGATTAAATGAAATATTTTTTTTTAAATCATTTACGTTCGAAAATAGATTTGATTTGATTTTGATTTTTGGTGTTTTAACGCCACTTTTAAGCACCGCTTTTGGGCTATTTCGTGGCGGCCAGTTTTTATTGGTGGAGGAAGCCGGAATGCCCGGAGAAAACCACCGACCTTCGATAGGAAAACTGACAATCCTAGTCAATTAAGATTGGAGTAGAGTGCACCCGCACGAGCGGGGTTCGAACTCACAACCTCAGTGTTTACTGGCTAGTGATTACAGTAGTAATTACTTAGACCACTCGGCCACCGAGGCCCCCGTTCGAAAATAGAAGACTCGACACTTCGTTGTCAAAATAACTTGAAATAAATGCTATCAGTTCGACTAATATGAAGAGATAAAGCAGGTTTTGGAGCACTTTGAAAAGGACAACTATATGTGCGACTGTGGAAACGTGATCCAAGGACTATAAAATTTATGAAAACTAGAGCACCCGCTGCATGAAACAACACCTAAAATACTGCCACGGCGTGTTCATGGCGCAAAGACCACAAGCCTTCATCCACTGGTTGGTCAAGCTGTTTCATCATTACATGTACATGTATCTTCGTTTTTATCTTGCAACTATATACATTATAATATGGGGGGCACGCATTTGAGATGACAAGGCAGCACAGAAACTAACATTGTCAAAACCTGCGAAATTTTCCGTCATTCAACATCTTTAAATCGATTTAAACCAAACTTGGTATACACTTTGCACTAACAATTTAGTGGATAATATTAAAAACCAAAAATAACATTGCAACATAGGCGTTTGTCTTTGTTTCGATATTAGATGCTCTTAGATTGATACTAAGACATCCTGGCATGCTATTTGCTTTTTTGGTTACTCTATCAATGTGTTGTTTCCAGAACAGGTCAGAATGTTTACTTCAACATGTAAAACATTACATATATAATCAAAGATTTTGCTATGATTCCCTATTTTGTAATATATCTATAACATAATTACAAAATAGGAAATATAACAATTTTACTAAATAGGCAAACACATAAGCGGAACAAAATTAGCACACATGCAAATTCACCAAACTGTGATAAAATAAAGACTTATAAATTAGCTGCGCGACTGAGTGAATCTGGGACCAATATTTATAAAATTCATGTATAAGTCCCAGACTGAAAGAAATGAGCATCGAGTAAAAAGCCACATGGATAAAAAAAAAACACACACACACACACATATTAAAATGTTACATAGGAACATTCATATGACTAGAAAAAAAAGCATTCAGATAAAAGATTTATTGAAAATCCACATCTAAGCAGACAGTACTAGTGTAAGCATATTGCAAAACATGAAGCCAACTTAGTAAACAGTCGGTATAAAAAAACAGATGGTCATAAAGTACTGACAATTAAAATGTATGCTGCCAAAGAGTAGAAAATTAGAAAAGGTGTCAATATAGTTTACAAACAAAATAAATAAACGGTATCCCCCCCCCCAAAAAAAAAAAAAATCTCCTTCAACAACCCCCCTAAAATTAAATCGTAGTCCTCTAATACAAAGGTACTATAGAGATTTGTTTATTAAGACTCTATAATGTTGGATGCCATATAGTAAAACAATCCAACACCACATCAAAGAATTTCCGCAATACAGAAATCGTGAGCAAAGTACTAAAACTGCTGATATAAAACTAAACTCCTCTTATACTCTTTTATTTTCCACTCATGGTACTTCTGAGTAGATTTTTAGCAGTAGCGTGTGTTGCAATGTACAAACAAAAAAGGCGGATGAGTGCTTAACATATGCATGTAAATTTTTATATGACATGCATATTCAGATCGACCAAAGCATGAACATGAGATTGCTTTGTATACTAGCTCGACACAATGTAATAACATCATGTGTTCTTTGCAGAGAAGTAGCAAATATCTTTGTTTTAAACCGGTCGGAATCGAACTCCAACCCACGACCTCCAGGACTTGAGATGAGAACGTCGTGGTCAATTTCCATAAATTTATTTCTCACCTGGACCAATTTTTAATGATCATTAACGCTTGCTTGTTTGTCTTGTTAATAGAATTAGCTTATATAAAGGCTCCAATTAAGGAGTACGAATAATTCACGTTGCAGGAATATGCCTTTTTGATATTGACCGAAAAAATCAGAAAAATATTAATTTTTACAAGAATTCAAAATGAAAGAGGTAACTGGCTAACTTATTGACTGCTAGTATTAAGACTACAGATTGGTGTCGGTTATTTTATTTTTGTTGCTTGTCACTTTCAGAAATTGCCCCCCTTTCTACTTTTCAGTCTACTCCTACGCCACTGCATTATCCTCCTACACCATTGCATAATTGTACAATGTAAAATCAGAGTCATGTATAATAACATAATGCTTTTAGTAAAATATGATTGAAATATTATTTTTTTTCAGATCGTCAAACCTTAACAACTATTTAACAAATCATTAATTGCCATTTAAATTATTTCCGATATAATCACTTCAAATTTAAAGATATTATTCACGTTAATTGTATCATTATAATTTAAAGATATTGTTTGATACTATAGAATCAATACTGGAAACGAGGCGAGTTAAATTGTTTGTATCGACCAGAAGTGCCATGCAGAAGTTCTAGACCGGCATATTCTTAATTTATGAAATTATGCCGTCTGCATTTGAGTCATCTTAACATAAGGTACCGGAATTTTACAAAGGACTGGGATCCATAATTAGCAGGTAAGAAATCTTTGTCAATAAATTACCTTCTCAGTTTTAATAGTGTAATATTTATTCACATGGTAGCCTGTTTGTTTAAAATATTTGCACTATATATTTTGATAGACGGCCAAAATCGCCAAAGATTAAAGAATTAAGATGTATGTATTGAAATATTATATTTTAATCTTATTGTCAAGGTGGTATATAAGTATTCAATTGTGTTGATTCTTTAACTAAGATGTAATGTTATAAGTATGTTTGGTTTTGTCTATTTAAAAAGACGACATGAAAAAACAGACACACGAACGATAAATGCATTTAAATATCCATAAAAAAAATCTAATTTCAGATAAATATCTTGTAAAAAAATCGTCAAGAAATGAAATACGATGACATAATATGATGACCGATTACTAGAAGCGCGTGCGATGAAAATACCATAATACATTTTACTCGTATTCAATTGAAACGAACATCTTTTTTATGTTAAAGTCAATATTTTTGTCGAGACATAAATTTCAGGCCAATTCACTGATAAAAACATATTAGTAAATTATCTCCAGTAACTACGAGTAATCTCAGATCTATACTTTGTGTCTTTTGTGTAACACCGCTGTCCCAGGTTAGGGAGGGCTGGCTCGCCCGCAAACATGTCCAAGTCAGGAGCCTGTAATTCAGTGGTAGTCGTTTGTTGCTGTATATCATTTTTGGGTTTCTTTCATCGAATTGTTCATAAATAAGGCCGTAAGTTTTCTCGTTTAAATTGTTTTACATTTGTCATACCATGAGTCTTAATATGCGGTAAGGGTTTTGCTCATTGCTGACGGCCGTACGGGGACATTTATTGGTAACCTTTAGTTGCTAACCTTCTACGTCATTTGAACTATGAGAGTTGTCTCATTACCAATCATACCGCATCTTCTTATTTTTATATTGAGTACAGTGGGTGAGACATCGCCCTTTCCGTTCAAAAGTTTTGCCGGTCACTCATTTCAAATGCACTTTCTTCAATCGTTTGTAACCCAATTATAAAACAAATGGCCTTTGAACATTTTCTAAATCACCCCTGCAATTGAATGCAACATCTAACTATATTCGAACGTGATCTATAAGTTAAGGATATATATATACATTGTATAGCAAAAGTCAGTATGGTATTACACTGTGTATGAAAATACCACTGAAAGTTTATCATTTTGGTCAGGCGTTCTCGCGGTACGATTAATAGCGCGTCTGTTGTCTGTCAATTTGAAGTTCACTGATGTTTTCTTCTGCCATTATAAATCGAGCTGGATAAAGCCTCTGCAAATCAATTTAGGAGAAAATATCGCAGAATTTGATTCCGGGCACAACTTCGATCGATTTCGTACCTCTTTAATTCTATTAAAGGAGCGCACCGTATTCACCCGAGGTTTGCCGATTGGGGCACAAATGGCAAAAGTATATTACTAGTAAACTTTTAATGGCATTTTTGTACGCTGTGTAAATCATATGCGTGACAAACGACAAGGACCTTGTTTAATTTGTCGAGGGTTTAGTCGTTCCACAACGTACACTTTAAGAAAATAGCTTATGAAATGTTTATTTGCCAAAGTGTCAAAGTTGTTAGCATTTTTGATAACATTGCACAATTACAAATATTGACTTACGATAATATCATTCCAGTTTATCAATTAATTCTAGAAGGAAATGTATATTTGAAAGTTTTGAATTTTATAACACATTTTGTAATCGTCACAGTTAAGTTAAAATTTTAAAGCCCCTTTGACTATCGGCAATGAATGAAAAAGATATATTTTAAAAGTATCTGTTTTTATCTTTGATACAAGGCCAAGACTATATGACGATAAGTGAGAACAATATAAAACAGTTACAACTAGACACGCAATTAAAAATAAAGTACATAATAATTAGCCAGTCAAGTTGAATGAATAAGTTAACTCAACAAAAAAATGAATAGTCATCGTACTTTCTATATACAATTGTATATGCATGTCCGCCCATAAGTCTGCAACTACATTTTTATTGATTATATCAGATTTGTATTTATATGTCTGTAATATTTTCCACTTTAATGTATTCAAGTAAACTTATATATATGACATTGTGACTGGTATACAGTTAATCATGATATCAGTTTGTTTTAAACAAATAAAAAAACAATTTCTAACTAATTTCGAGCATATATATGCGTCTCTGATGCATGATTTTTTTATTATTATTAATTGTTTTTGGTTTTAAGCTAGCTTTCAGTAACTGCGAGTACTCTCGAATCGTACTTACTTGTTAATTTGACCTGTTGACACACTTTGTAATGCATTTCTGTTATTCAATGTTTACTTATTTTGTGTTATATCTCGTCTCACTATTGTTTTATATGTACCACCTTTGATAAGTATTTAGTATGACGATAAATTTTCACTTCTGTACTCGTAATGTGAACAACAAATTTATTTATTTTGTAAAAAATGTTTCCGTACTCCTAACAACAAAAATATTATATTTAAATTTACCTGTGTACGTTATTTCATTTAACGCCACTTTGTCCCAGGTTAGAGTTGTCTTTTTGACATTGTTCCTACATCTTTTTTTATTAATATTGTGTCATAGATCAAACTTATTCGTTCAGTGTATATTTACTTGTTTTTGTTTATATGTCTTTTTGATGGAGTGAAGCTATTTCAATTGATATTTTATAGTGTGTGTTTTTATGTTGTAATGTTACACTACTGTTTCAGGTTAGGGTGGAGGTTGGCGCCTGTTAAAACATTTAAACTCGCTGCATTTGTATGCACCTGTCCTAAGTCAGGAGCCTGTTGTTCAGTAGTTGTCGTATGTTGGTGTGGTTCATAGGTGTTTCTCGTTTCTCGGTTCTCGTTTTTTATATTGATTAGACCGTTGGTTTTCCTGTTTGAATTGTTTTACACTAGTCATTTTGGGGACCTTTATAGCTTGCTGTTCGATGTGAGCCAAGGCTCCGTGTTGAGGGTCGTACTTTGACCTATAATTGTTTACTTTTTATACATTGTGACTTGGACGGAGAGTTGTCTCATTGGCACTCATACCACATCTTCTTATTTATAAACCAGTTGCAAACTGTTTCTATAATTTAAAAGATGCATACAATACTGTTGCCAGTAATGGCTTATACCTGTCTCCAAAGGTTTTCGTGGTACGAACTGTTAACAGGACACAGATAGAGCGAGTATTCACTCCTGAGTAGATCCAACATAAAATTTTAATCTGCTTACCCTTCCCGAACCCCTTGAAATCAGCCCCATTTTTTGAGGGGGTTCGTGTTGCTTGGTCTTTGGTTTTCTGTGTTGTGTTTTGTGTATTGTTGTTTGTTTGTCTTTTTCTTTTTAGCCATGGCGTTGTCAGTTTATGTTCGACATGTGAGTTTGAATGTCCTTTTGGTATCTTTCGCCTCTCTTTAAAAAATCAATCCTATTCATATAAGAAATGGAAAATTGAATTGTGAATAAAAGAATCCCGTCGTCTAAATTTTACCTTCATTTAAAAATGTTATGCTTCGGTTGAGTTTCTATTTCTCGGGTAGGTAATTTTTAAAAGAAAAGGAAACTATAGGTAATTGCTATAATTGCTGTATACAAATATTTTTTCTTATAACTTATACCCTTCATAACAAAACAGTTTGATTTAAGCTGAACCGAGATGACACTTTACGAGAGGTTAATGATGGAATATATTTATGATTTCCGACGTAAGTATACACTGGATATGGTGAATCTTTACTAAAATATATACACTATAGTATGAACTACTACATATATATAACTAGACTAGGGTATGGAATACATTTAAGATTTCCAACGTAAGTATATACATGCAGTATACGGTCGAATCTTTACTAAAATATACATACACTATAGTCTAAACTGCTCCATATATTTAAGTAGACTAAGGTATGGAATATATGATTTCCAACGTAAGTATACACAGGATGTGGGCGCATTTGTACTAAAATATATATACTATATAGTCTAAACTGTTACATAATATATATGTAGACTTAGCTAGGGTATGGAATATAGTTTTTTCTTCTATTAAATGTTATTTTTCGTGTAGTCAAAGATATATAGCTCTACTGTTTTTCTTTGTAACATTTCTGATTAATTTAGTATAGTTCGATATTTGTACAAATATATGATTTCATAAGCTAGTGGATTTTTTACACTTGCCTTCCGTTTAAAACATTGCGACTGTCACTGAATTCTTTATAAGCACAAACTATGTATACATCCCTACCATTTTATCAAGATAATCCTGAAAAGGGTGTTCTGAGGAAATAATTTTTCGGTGTGCTTTTCAGTTTTACCAGAGACATATTATACGTCTCTGGTTTTACAAAGGGTGATTTTGCTTTGGATAATCTCGATATTATAGAAGAAAGTAGATTCTTTTCTAAGAGTATAGTTGGACGTAAGTGAAATATATGAGATTTTTCTAACACAAAAGACACAAGAAGTTGATTTAAACTTTGTTATTTGAGTTTTTCACTTGTGCGGGACTTCGTGAATTTGACCCAAAGCTAACGGAATGACGATTTACGCTGATATAAGTCAGCTAGGTGGGTACGATTAGAAATCATTAGAAAGAGTCACACACTGCACAATTAGGAATAACCAACTTGGTCTTGGTCCGCCTCCTTTTAAGTTCTTGTAGAAAGTTTGATGAAAATGAAAATCTGTAATGACGAAGATCAGCTATCACCAATCATTCTTTATATTTCAGCTGCACGGCTCCTTTCCTTTTTTCTCTGAATAAAAGGAGATGTGAGGTATACGTGTTTTTACCATTCATTCATTCGTTCGTATATATTCATTAACTGGATGCATGTTAGATGCCATTTACTTTTTTTTATATATAGTTTAAAACACTGCTGTTCAATACTATATATTTAACAGCGAGTGTCAAGTATCCGTCATTAAAATAACTTTTCCTATCATAACTTAATACAATTTATAATGTACATTCTTGTACACTGTTTATATGGTTTTTAAGTCTTTATTACTCCTTAAATTTTAGTGTTAGTTATTTTATTTTATTTCAGTTGTAAAAATGGATTATCTCAATGAATACATGTGTATTCTTAACACGTTGAATATAAAATGGAACATTTATTTACTAAACCACTGGCAGGACCGATTCTCTGACGTCTTTCCGCTAGTAAAGAGAAATCTTGAACCATGCATAGGATCACAAAATTTTTAACTATTTATTTTTTTATAGAACATTAATTTATATATTCGTAGAGATGAATTGATTTTAAGTAAAGTTTAAACATTATATACCAATATTGAAACGTTTCACTGGTCTGTAAAATATATTTAATGTATAACCAGACTGTGATATATTTACCTATTCAAATAAAATTTAAACATTTAATTTCGATTTTTTTTTCTCAGCTGATCGTGAAAACGAAATGGCAGAACTAGCATATGAAGACCATTTTCCGATGCCAAATGATCGATTTAAAAGTTCCAGTCGAACAAGTGGCAAAAGCGGTCGAAGTAGTAGTCCTACTCATAGTGCCCATGCAAACTTTCTCCGCTATAGTATAATGAAATCTTCAGACGAGAAGAAGGCGAGAAAAGTTCGTTTCTATAGAAATGGTGACCGATTTTTTAAAGGAATTGTTTATGCTGTTTCAGCAGAAAGATTTCGTTGTTTAGATTCTTTGTTAGTTGATCTTACAGGAAGTCCTCTGTGCGATAAAAACATTCTACCGAATGGCGTGCGTCATATTTTTACTATGGACGGAACAAAAAAAGTAGCTAACTTAAACCAGTTAGAGGAAGGGGAAAGTTACGTATGTGCTTCAACTGATGTTTTTAAAAAGTTGGATTACGCCAAAACTGCTAACCCAAATTGGAATGTAAACGCTAAACCAAAAGATGACCCACTATCAGCAAGTTTTGGACTTTCGGGTGACGGCAAGGATTACATCAAACCAAAACTGATAACAGTTATTAAAAACGGTTTAAAACCAAGGAAAGCAGTGCGAGTTTTATTGAACAAGAAAACTGCACATTCTTTTGAACAAGTTTTGAATGATGTTACAGAAGCAATCAAGTTAAATTCGGGAATTGTACGCAAAATATTCACAGTGGATGGCCAACCAGTAAGTATGTTATGAGTTAGAAGTTCCTTCGTAATACAAGTTCCAAATGGAAGAAGTATTCTTTAGTATTATTTTCACTTGAAAAAATATAGCAGAAATTGTTCCTTACGGAAAAAAGGATATAAAAGGTTTGTTCCAACAGGAACAGATATAATGGCATTGCTTTATAACATAATTTCCAGGGAAACTTCTGTTAGGCGGAGCAAATATACATATGATTGCCGTGGGTGTACCCCAGCAATCATACCACATTCCTTATTTTTATATTGATGACGAGTGCCGGATGATAATTGGTCCTCCTCTGCTTTAAAGATTCAAGTTATAATTCCACACCCTTGTAGAATAGTATTTTATTTAATTCAATGTTCAATTCATTATGGAACAAGAACAGACAACATTGAAAAATACTAAACCTAAGATTTTCTTAAGTCTTTTATCTGTCCAATTGTTCTTTTTCGCAATTAAAAATATTGTTAAGAAAAACACACATGTTACACTGACCATGAAATTAAACGAGATGACTAAGTGAAATTAGTCACGTTGACCTTTTAATGACCAGTGCTCGTCATTAAGCCGATTTTGGATCGAAAGGTTAATTAGAAATGTCGACTACATCGGAAAACATTGTAAATATCCTAGTGATTTGTAATGACTATAAGTATACAACAAGTGTTATGGCTTTAACTTGGAGTGGTTGTTCGAATATTGACAATACAAAATGTATACGTTACTAATCATATAGACTGTTCTTGTGCACTTGGAACCATTTTATCATATCAATCTTTCTACATTTAGAAATAAACGAGTTTTTAACACATTATACGTGGAACATATAATAATAAGAAGATGTAATATGATTGTCAATGAGACAACTCTCTACCAGAGACCAAATGACATAGAAGTTAACAACTATAGGTAACCGTACGGCCTTCAACAATGAGCAAAACCCATACCGGATAGCGAGTTATAAAAGGCATCGAAATCACAGACACTTTTCTCTGAAAAAAATTACCTATAAACTTTAATTTAGTTTTTTTTTCAGAGACAAGTGCCTGTGCCCGAAATGACAAATGTAAAACAATTCAAGCGAGAAAACTAACGGCCTGATCATGTACAAAACAATAAGCGAAAAACAAATATGATATACAGAAACAAACGACAACCACTGAATTACAGGCTGCTAAGACAAGCAAGAGAAAGTAAACAAGTCATTTCCACGCGTCATTTATTCACATTTGATTAATTGAAGCATATTTTCAGCAAAATTGAATAAGTAGACTTTGCGACCTTCAAAATGTTCCGACATGGGAAGGATAGTAAGAGCTGCGCCATGAGCGCATGATACGCCCGTCGCTTTTTAAAAGAATAAAGTTCCATAACTCCTCAATGTCATATCAGAAATTTATAAAAAAAAACTAAAGGGAGGTTATTTTAATAGATATAAACCAGTCACCAAAGTTTCAAGAACACTGTTCAAAGCACTTTTGAGTTATTGTCCGAAAACTGGAAAATCAACCCTTTTTTATGAATAAAATCCCATAACTCGGAAACGTAAAATCTAAAATTTATAAAAATCGAAAGGAAGCTCACGTCAATAGATATAAACAATTCACCAAAGTTTCATGCAAATTGCTTAAAGCGTTTTGACATGTTGACGACGGACGGACAGACGGACAGACAACGGCATACCACAATACGTCTCGTAAACGGGTGTATAAAAAAGGTCGATTTTGAAATATTTACCAGTTGTGGTATAAACACTACTTCGCCAGGAAGATGTGGGCCAGGCTTCAACTTTTTGTGGTGTATAATAATAATATTGGGTTATTACCAGTCAACCGTTGAAAACACTGTGATTACAGTAAGGGCTATTTCTTGAACTCTCTCAAAATAAACTTTTAAAATACACCGGGAAATTACTTCATTTGAACAAAATAGTAAATACAGTAAGGGCTATGTTCTTGAACTCTCTGAAAATAAACGTTTAAGATATGCTGTGAAATTTGAAATTAAACTACACGTACACCCGTGAAATAGTTGAAAAGCTGTTATGAAGCACTAAAGTGTCGACATAAACATGTACATTAGTGCCTTTAATTTTAAATACCCAACTTACATGTCAAATATCTTTCGTGTATCTCCACTTACATTTCGTTTGATTATACATATCTAGTTGTATTATCTACATGTATGTTGGAACTCATACATTATACATGTTTGAACAAATGTTATAATTCATACACTAGCAAGTTATGTAATAACTAAGTTATTAAAAACAAATATTTGAATTGAAAGAATATTCGTGATTATGACTGAAATAATAAAAAAAGAATAAATAAAAACTAGCCGAGGATCACTTTTGAAACTCTTATAAACTTATCTGGTTTGGAGTATGCCACTTGAGACAATGGTGGAGTTAATCACAATTAGATTTCGCAACAAGTGTCAAGTCAATGAGACGACGTCTAAAGACTTTGTACATAGCAAACGAAATAACGAAAACTTATTTTCGGGAGTACTGCAGTTCACCCTGTTGAGTTGGGTTCGTGTGTCAGTCTGTAGTTTTCCCTGTTGTGTTTTGTGAACTATTGTTTGTCTGCCCCTCTTTTTTTCGTTGGCTATTTTTTTACGAAGACGTGTGAACCCCTTTTAAAACCGGTGTAAACACAGATGCTCTGGAAGGGTAAGCGGTTCCTGCTTCAACAGTTACACCTGTCGTGTTACTCATAGTAAGTAATTAAAAACAAATATTTGAATTGAAAGAACATTCGTGATTATGACTGAAATAATAAAAAAAAAAAAATAAAAACTAGCCGAGGATCACTTTTGAAACTGGAAGAGTAAGCAGTTCCTGCTTCAACAGTCACACCTGTCGTGTTACTCATAGCAAGTAAGATACGATGGTAATTCGCGTTTGGTAATGTCGCAATTGAGGAAAAGAGGATGGAATTGGACGGAAAAGAAAAACAAATTCGTGGACATCATGACACAGATATACCCACAGCACGATGAGATCCGTAAAACTTTCGAAGGGGTAATTTCAACTTTACCATTTGGAACCCTTAATACAATAACATTGTAACCCTCGATCAAGGAAATCCGGATATGAAATGCAATGCCTGTAAATACCGTATCAACTGAGATAGATATACTCCATATGTAGGCGCTGCTGGATTGTTGCTACTAGAAAGGGAAAGTTCACAATGGTAAAATTGTCTTAAAGTTTAATTCACAACTGACTGTCATTTCCAATCCCTTGATTTAAAATCAAGCATTGGAGGTTCTGAAATATTTCTGGTGGTCCATAACTAATAACGTATTCCTGAAATCGATTTTGGAGGTCCTTAAAACAAAATTTTTGACTTAATCTGATCCTCATAGAATATTATATACCAATTATTACAGCTATTGCGTTAATAACGATCTTTTTATGAAAATTTATTTGATTCTCTTTTTCGAAAATACCTGCAACCGATCCGACACCGACGAGAATCAATGAACAGTTACCTACGTAACATAGTATTTTTAGGCCCCACCTACGATAGTAGTAGGGGCATTATGTTTTCTGGTCTGTGCGTCCGTTCGTTCGTCCGTCCGTCTGTCCCGCTTCAGGTTTAAGTTTTTGGTCAAGGTAGTTCTCTATGGTCGGGTTGTTGTCTCTTTGACACATTCCCCACTTCCATTCTCAATTTTAATTTTATTTGATGAAGTTGAAGTCCAATTAACTTGAAACTTAGTACACATGTTCCCTATGATATGATCTTTCTAATGTTAATGCCAAATTAGAGTTTTGACCCCAATTTCACGGTCCACTGAACATAGAAAATGATAGTGCGAGTGGGGCATCCGTGTACTATGGACACATTCTTGTTTATACATATATCACATAAAAAAGGTGACAATCCGCGCAAGACAAAAATGTAATAAATGCTGTAGGAACACCACACCCTTTTACAAACCAGCTATAACTGCGGCAGATACAATATAAGATCTGTGTTTTGATTGACATTAAAGCTATTGTTTTTGATATCGTGTAGGGCAGATTTTTGTCTTCTGTTCCGTTTGTCACTGCAATTACAATTTTACAATCGTGCACACCATATTTTGATCTTAGTTAAGATCAGTTAACGTATTGCACTTACAGTACGGTCTACCTGGTTAGAGTCTCTCGAAATTCTAATTATGATTGATGTGTGATTTCGGAAAGTATATGCGATAGATGTTGTTCATTTCTTCCTCTAGAATATATCAATTTATCTATGAGTTACTATAGATACTATGGTTTTTTTGTGTTGCTTGGTTAATGTCTAATTGACGTATACCCTGCATCTTAGACTATAATGAAAATCTTCATCTTATTCTCAGTTCCAAGAGACAACATGTTAGAGGCTATGACTGAATGTTTATCTATCCTTATAATGATGTCTCATCACACATCATTATAGATTAGTCACCACGGAGTCAGACATCTGCTCAGTCACATCGGTCTAAAGTGAAAAATTATACGTCAACCCTCAAAGCTCATTTGTTTTGGTTATCATGAGAAACTATTGATTATAATTCAAATGTTCGATATGAAACTGCTGTGTTGACAGTTTTTTTGCCATTCTAAGTTTACACAAGATAATCTGTTAGAATTTTTCAAATAAGGAATCAATACTCTAAATAACCTAGTTTGACATTGCAGTGTTGTAATACGAGTCAGGAAGTGTTTATTGCCAGTATCCTCAATGCTCTGATGCACGTTGGCATGTTTGAAATACCCCTTGCCGAACTTTTAGTTCTACAGTGATATGTATAAATTGAAAATTAAAGACTACATATCTCTATTCTGTCCATATCCTGCATACTAGGTAATACTTTACAACAAATACTTATTCCAACGGCAAACGTCATCAAGACTTAAACCAATCTATTACTATTCTGCAGTCGCTTGATCATATTCCGCCACATTGTAATTTTTTGTTGTTGCATATATATAGACTTTGGTTCACATTGTTCCAGCAGCATACCACGATACAATTCATATAGTGTTTCATGCTGTCAAGTACTATCTAGGGTCCCATGAATAAATTATCTGTTAATCTATTTTGTATGTACAACATTTTTATCCATACACATGGGATTCCGTGTTATTTGTAATTTGTTATAGAGGACAATTTGTCTACAAGGAATTATTTTAATTTACTCGTCGTACATGCATACAAGACTTTTACAGAATCTCATGCCGTGCAGGTTATTTTTGCAGAAAATAAATTAAATACCCCAGAGAGTAAGTCAATGATTGCATTTTTATAGACCTGATAAAATGTTTTAAAGCAGATCCTCGTAAACTGATTTGTGATATCACGAAATAAGACTATCATCGTAATTATACTTATCACAAGCATCACTAATGTGCAACACGTGGAGCAGGATCTGCTTACGCTTCCAGAACACCTGAGAAATACCCCGATTTTTTGTGGGGTTCGTATTGCTCAGTCTTTAGTTTTCTATTTAGTGTTTTGCTGAGTGTTGTTTTTCTTTTTGTCGTATTTTGTTATTTTGCCATAATTTTGTCGTTTTCAATTCGATTTATGAGTTATGAGTCCCTTTGGTGTCTTTCACCTCTTTAAGGACCACGATTGGTTAAAATTAACTAGGTAGTTTCTGAGAAGGTGAAAAACAACTGAAAAGTAAAAAAAAATATGTTCATCGCGTCAGTGTTAACTGATTTAGCTTGTTTTAACCACATCGAAGCTCATACAATAACCAGATTGCTGTGCAAGTTCAAAATATCAGGACTCCGTCAAAAATCTTAAGTCGAAAATAGACAGACAACAATTGTGACAAAAAGACAAAAATAAGTTCACAAAACACAAAACAGAAACAAAGGTTCTAGCATAACTAACCTGTTCCGAAAGGTAAAAAGTAAAAATTTGACTATACCTTTGAATGTTGGAATTCCTGATGCCCTACACACAACAGCTAAAGTCTTATGTTTCTTTCAGGTAAATTCTTTATATGACTTTTTCAAAGATGAAAACTCAGTATTTATAGCTTACGGCCATGAACGGTGTACTCAGGATGATTTTGACCTCGACGAAAACGGTATGTACAGACAATACCTTTAGTTAACTGTGGTTTGGAACCAATTTTTTGAGGAAGATAAATGATCTTAAGTACAGTACAGTTGATTTTACATTAAAAGTTCAGACAAAGAACTTCAACAGTCTGATTCTCCACGTTGTTCATCGCCCGATTTATATAGATTGTGAAGATTGTTTTCAGTTTTCAACATGACTATCTAAACTATAACGCTGTATCTGTATTTTGTCCTTCATATATATGTGTAGAATTAATAAAAATTTAAACAACTCAAGATAAGGAGATATTGGTTTGTAGTTGTCACAATCTAATAAAAGTACATATCCTGTATCCACGCTTTGTTTAACACATGATCTGTATTTCATCCAGATTGTAGTTATCTAAGTCGGTATCCCACCTCTTACTAGTATATACAATTAAGGGGATGTAGCATGATTGTTAATGAGAAAACTGTCAATCCGAGTCCAAATGACGTTGATGCCCAAGGCCGAAATGCCAAGTCAGCAGTCTAAGTCAGTCTTAAAATTCAACGATCGCCCGCAAGCCTACAGTACACCAAGATGATAAAATATGAACAAACCATCCAGGGGCGGATCCAGGATTTTTTATTGAGGTAAAATTATTGAAATATTCTTTATTAAGCTGAGGACAACCCATGCTTTGCAAAAATTTTTTTTTGAGGGGGGGCGCACGCCCGCCACGCCCCCGCCTGAATCCGCCCCTGCCATCAACTTGTTATTTGACTTTATCCTCTGATCAGGCATTCCTAAAAAATCCATACAAACTTTTTATTTAAAATGACATATTCATTAATAAAGCTTCTAAAACTATTTCAGAAGTAAGATTAGTCTCAGCATATAAAAATACAACGTTCAGACAATCAGAAAGGGTAACATTGAGATCACCAAGAACACCTCGCAAAATCTCATTATCATCTAGAAGTCTTGATAAATCAGGTATGTATATCAAATCTGAAGTACATATACTGTTCATTATCAAAGGGTACCCGGTATGATTTCATATCACGTGTACGTGCATCCTTAGTTCATTTAAAGCCACTACAGCAAAGAACTTTACGCTATGTACACACTTGTACCATTATCGTGGAACTCACAATTGTGTGAAAATTGAACATCATGAAGAAAAATATTCGGTAATACTCAATGGAACAATCATTTTTGCAATGACAAATCAAAAGCGTAATAGGTCCATGATGGGCAAACAAAACGATGCAGATCACACTGCTTTAACAGAAGTATTGTTTACTAAAAGCAACATTTGTCAGATGCAAGTTATTACGTTAATCTGCTTCCAGTTAGGTTATAACATTTAACGATTGGAGGTGGTGAATGGACGGGTTCCGTCCTGTAATTCAATTCACAAACTAACCTAGACATTGCATCTGATTTGTTGTCTATAGGGACGGACGATTAATAATGTTGATTGTTGATAATAGAGGGTTCAATATCCTCAGACAAAGAGTCTAATGTGTCATCCGGGAAGACCAATATCTGGTAAACCAGGGTTTTTGCGAATGGTGCAAGGAATACATTGCTGGTATCAGCATAGTTTTCTCACATCTCATGTAAAAGGTGGAATTTGCCTTCTTCTTTACTTTAAGTTATGGTGTTTTCGATATTTGCTCAATTAAATAAGGTTAGATACAGGTATTCTAGAAGGTTCGTCTTGTTGGTGACATTTTTAATATGGAATTCTATTTGATGGTTATTCTCTTACCTTTGAATTTGTGAAGGTATTATGATTAAAGCATCTTCTTTTTAACATTTCTGGTGTTTCTGTATATAACATAATTGCAGCAAATAGGCATAGTGTTTATCGCCGGTCTTTAAGCAAACTGATAGGTCGTTGATGAAAAATAGGGACATATAACAATACCCTGGGGGTACCAGCCTAGATTAGTGCTTAGATTGATGCAACTCAATTTAGCAGCAACTTTTAAAGTATAAAAGGTATCCGAGCAGTTCTAAACTCCCCCCCCCCCCCCCCCCAATCATTTTATATTATGTTGTAGCCACTGTGGTTGTAGCTTGCACAGTAAATACCTATGTGGTACCGTGTAAAGATTTCATGAAGTTAAGAAAAATCACATCTGTTTGGTCAAAGAAGCCGGTCAATAATACTTATGGTATCCTGGGTTGAGTCATCAAGCTGACTTTCCCATGACAAGATTTTCCTTAATCCATGTCGAGTGTCTTATAATATTACTATGGTAATAATGGTTATCTCCTTATCGTATATTGTATGCATCGAGGGTTTTTATGATACTGATTAGAATTCCGTCGTAGAAAGGATCTCTCTTGAAATTTAATTGATGATGAAATGAATTTTATAAAAACTAATCAGCATTTAATTGTGATTGTTTTTTGCTTTAGGTTCCTCATCACCAATAGCTTCACCTAAAGCTTCACGCAAATTAAGAGTTGTATCTGCAGTAAGTATACTATAGCTAATTAATTGTTTTTTTTCTTTCTTTTTCTGCTTAGAACAAAACAGTGATAATTATCTCTACGTCACCAGGGATGATTTCTCTTATTCTATCTACTTGATAGCCTTTTTCAGATAATTTTTACTTTCTTTAACAACATTTAACATAGAAATACGTATAATGAATCTAGATCACAGACCGTGTATTTCATAAGAACATGTCGAAGTTTTGCATGTCAATAAATCTTCTAAATGTATTTCAGCCAAAATACAGAACAGCAAATGGCATGAATGGAGGTAAATATACTTGTTGTCCTTAATTAACTTTCAATTATGCTTTTTTGTATTACACGGGGTAGATTGAAGGTGTATTTTGGGATGTGATGGGACATGACTGAATTCTAAATGTGGTATGTGATAGACATCAACAGGAACAGGCTAAATTAAGATACAGGGAAAATAAATACTAAAATGCCACTTAGCACCTTCGTCTTGGAACGTTTATTTATTTTGAAATTATATTAAAAGATTTTGAAAATTTGCATTTTTGTTTAAACCAACACGGGTTTTAAGCCTATAATGTTTTTATTGTGGAAAATTAAAGCTGTAGAAGCTCATAGGACATGTATCACTCAACTGCAATGTTTGTCCAATGTTCAAAAATCGTTACTTTTCATCCCAATTAGGCAATTCTTATTCAGCCTTGTTTCATGGTAGTATCCAAGGATTTTTAAGATTTTGTGTTGTTGCATTCTTTTTTAGATATGAAAATTAATCAATCCGATGGAGAGTTCTGAAATTGCCACCATGTATATAAACTAATCATCTACTAGTGAGAAAGTCCTGAATATGCATGTAATATTTGCAACTGGACATTAAGCAAACAACAAACCAATATAAAAATTAAAACCCCTTTTAGATGGTGTCCCAATCATCCTATAATCATTAGAAATATTTGGGCCCTTTGCTTCTATAGACAAAAAATGCAAATTGACAATCCGAATCAATTTTTGCAAATGACAGCATACATGTCAGTGGAAGTTTTGCTGATACCTTTGCTGTCTTGTATGCTTCCAGATCAATACAAAATATTGAATACTAATAACTGTTTATCATCCATGTTATACATTTTGAAAGATGTGGCGTTTATAATGAGTTGCAGATAAGGATAAGAAATAATATTTGAAAGTTAGTCAATCATAAATAAGAAATGTATCTTATAGCTATGTTTTTTTGCCTGAATGGAATGCAATGAATAATTTTTAGAAAGATCAATCAATACATTATCCTTCTATGTTTTGTTAAAATTTTGTGATAAGTTGGAAGTTGAGTTTGAGATGAGAAGATGAAAACATGAAAAGTAAAATAAAGGCCAAATGATAGCAATAGCTCAGCCCTGGTACTGTGCCTCACACTGGCACATTTGCTATAGTATTCAAAAGAATTAGGCCTAATTGTGTCATTTGATTAAAAAAAAGCTTTACTTTGTATGATTTAAACATGTGAAGGTTGATTTACACTAAGAAACCTTGGGGAGTAATAATGCAGGATTTACATTACCACCATATATGTGCATAGACTATAATTAAAACCTAAATCCAATACCATTAGATTTTATCTGGGAATATGTTAGATATCAAATTATTGGGAAATGGCAGAGCTTTTGAATGTCATTTCATCAATATTAGGTATAAAATGGGATTATTGCTTATAAATCAAAGAATCAAGGAAAATGAAAATCAATAGAAATAAAAAGCATTTTGACATTTCATGTTTTACTATCATAAAATTCCTGGAATCAATTATCTGGTAGTTTTCTTGCTGAATTTGTGATATGGATGAAATATTGTTATTTTATTCTTTATTTGTACGACTCTCTAGGAACATTCCTGTTAGTTAATTAATTCCTTTCAACATGGAAGTTTTACCAATAGTTAAGAAAACATCATCTTTGTTGAAGCGATATACTTTGCTAACAATAAAAATCAATTTAAAGGAAAACTAGCATGAAATTGAACACATTTGTCTGAAAGCCACCAGCAGATAGAAAGCAATATTTTCAAGAGGGATAAATAAATCAGTTGTCTTCAAAAGGACATTTTATTGAAAAAATACTGCCTTTCTAAATGTTATTCAATTAATACACTGCTGCTTATCAAGGGGAGATAATTATATATTTTTTTACAGTAGTTTATCAGTATGAAAATATTTAAACATAACAAATTTGAGAAGTAGTTTTGCTTTTTAAATAGTGTTTTGTTTTAAAGAAAAATAATTCAGTATAATTTTTACTTAAAAGGCTGTAAGCACAGTTACCTTGAAAGTTTGTATGCAGGTTTACCTTGAAAGGTCATATGTACTTTGGAGCATTCATATAAAATGATATCTCCACAGTAGTTCAGAACTGAACAGAATTTATTTTTTTTCATTTAGCAATCATGCTCCACCTATAACATTAAATATGAATCTGTATCACATCTATGCACCACAAAATGTCATGGGAAGACAAGACAGGTACAATTTCAGCTTTGAAATGCATGACTAACTATACCGGTACTAAAAAGTTAGAAATAGAATGTTTTTTTCTTTTTACTAACTATATAGATTTTAAACACTTTTGGTGAATATCTGAAAAAAAATGTTGAATATCACATATGTCTCATATTCAGTATTTTCTTTAGGACCACCATCTTTAGCTCAGAGATATGAAATTGGTAAAATTATTGGGGAAGGAAATTTTGCAGTTGTAAAAGAGTGTACAGAAAAGTAAGTACATCTATACATAGTGTTGACAACGAGAGAAATAATGTAAAAAAACACTAGAAAATCCAAAAATAGCTATTAAAATTTCAATGGATTTATAATAATGCAAATGAAAAAAGCAATCTAATAAGAATGTACAAAATGTATGTACAAGTCATCACTGAGCATGCAGTGATACCAAATGATGTTATCTATTAATAAGCTTATATCTAGAATTAATATTTTCTGATATTCATAAGCTTCATTTTGACATAAGGTATGAGAAATAGAGCAATATCAAGTGGGATTTACTTGTACCAATTCCGAAACTATGTGCTCAAACAATCTATGAAAACGTTCTACCAGAAATTCAGAAACTTTTGTAATGCGCCTATTTACAGGGAAAATATGATGGGATGATAATGTGATTACATTAATTGTATGCAGCAATTCTTGAAATCACACAATTTATTGTCTGTTGTTCAACAAATTAATTGCACTGGTAAATGCATTGAATTTATCATTTCTGAATTTAAAGTAAATAAATTTGGAATTTAAAATTCTACAAGTAAACCATCACATTATTCTGATGAAATGTACTTTTGTAAGGAAATTCCATTCATATTTTAAAATTCAAATCTTTAAAAAAGACAAGGGAAAATGTTCATGTTATTTTTTTTTCTAAAGGGGAGATAATTCAATTTAACATTAAAGTTCGTTCCTCGTCTTATATTTTACAGGAAAACACACAAGCAATATGCCCTAAAAGTGATTGATAAAGAAAAATGTAAAGGCAAGGTAAGAAACACCAATTTGTGTTAAAAAATCACCAAGAAAATTAATATGAATTTATCATCTTAAATCATAAAAAAGCATTACTAAACTGTACATGCATATTGATGTTTACTAGTAAATAAGGGATTGAAATTTAAATATAACATTATATTTTGTATATCTATAAATGGACTACTTTTGAAATCAACATCAACTGGTGAAATTCTATTTTCTCGGTACATTTTAGGAACAAATGATTGAGAATGAAGTATCCATACTCAGAAAAGTAGACCATCCAAATATTATATTACTAGTGGATGAATTTGATACCAAAGATGAGTTATACCTAGTCATGGAATTAGTCAAGGTAAGTTAACTAATCAGTTATGCTTTTAATAGTTCTCAATAGAATACAGGCAGGCGTTTCACAAAATATCTTACTACTAAAATTGATCATAAGTATTCTGAACAAGCATTCTGAGAGTATTGCATGGCAATACATAGTCCCCAACAGGTTAAAAATTCATTGTATTGGAACAAAATGCTAACTTGATCTATAACTTGTTATGGTATAAACTATATAACAAATATCAAGTCAATATCTTCAAGCATGACAAAAAAAAAGTGTTGAAACTGATTATTTAAGTGAATCTGCAAAGTCCAAGAACCATAACTCTGCAGAAAATCATCAGATCGGAACAAAATTCGAACTTGATCTGTAACTTGTCATGATAAAACTATATACCAATTATCAAATCAATATCTTCAAGCATGATGAAAAAAAGTGTGGGAAACTGATTATTTGAGTGAATTTTCCAAGTCCAAGGACCATAACTCTGCACAAAATCATTAGACCGGAACAGAATTCGAACTTGATCTGTAACTTGCCATGATAATATACCAAATATCAAATCAATATCTTCAAGCATGAAGAAAAAAAGTGTGGAAAACTGATTTGCCGGACTGACGCATGGACAGACAGACAGACTAACGGAGTGCAAACCTATAGTCCCCTTCAACTTCGTCGGTAGGGGACTAATAATTCATCCCTTACAAGTATTTTTAGTTGTAAGATTTTTTTGTAAAATGCAGGCAAGGTACAATGGGAAGTCAGTTTCTTAGTGCTTGTGTCCATTTAAGAGATTATTTATTAATGGCATAGTTTAGGTATTTCTGTTAAATTCATGCACAATCTTGTGTGGACTAGGTTGATTTAGAGTTTGACCTATGGTTTTACCATCCGTCTTTTATTGTAGACCTTGACTTCTAGAATCTTGACACCATTTTTGTTTTATTGTGTAGCTGTTTCATTGAAGTCTACCCTATATCTTTTATTTAATCGAAAATTACTGTAGCAAAACACTCCAGACTACCACATTCTTTTTATCTAGTACACAGAAGGCTTCATCTTTTTCTCTTAACGAGAATGTATTGCCCATGTGAATGAAATAAAGTTATCTATCTTTGAACAATGAAATAGTGACAGAAAACGAAATATTGTGTATTTTATGTAGTCATTTACATCATCAAAGAAAGTGACCAACAGTTATTTGATAATTAATAAAATCTATTAAATAGAAAAAATGATTGATCAAGTGCATTCATTTGATAATATCGGATGTCTGCTAGGGTTATAACAGTACTAAATAAAAGAATAGTTACACTTGTATTATTTTTCAGGGCGGAGACTTATTTGATGCCATCTCCACATCCACTAAATACACAGAGAGAGATGCCAGCACCATGATACACAACTTAGCTAGTGCTCTTAAATATCTACACAAACTTAATATTGTACATAGGGACATCAAACCAGAAAATCTGTTGGTAAGGCAAAGTTGGCTTTAGATATCTTCATAGTATATATATATTAAAAATTAAATACACAAAAAGAGTTTTAAAAGCAGCTTTTAAAACTCTTTTTGTGTATTTAATTTTTAATATATAATTCTGTACACCGCTTGAAAAGAAACTTTTTTTTGTATATATAAATATATAAAAAAAAAAATTTAATTGGTATGGTTGCTTCGATGTAAATAGGAATATTTGTTGTATGAACATTTCTGGAAAATAAGATGCAATAAGATTTAGTATATTAAAAGTAAAATCAAATGTATGTCTTTTTATACAACTACACATTAACTTGATGTACACACAGGAAAATAAACAATAAAATCTATTGTATACAAGGATTACAAATCTCAATGTTGGAAGCTAACATACTCTGTAGAGGAGAGAGGCAGACAGCTTTAGGAATAAATAAAGTTGAGGCTGACACCTTTCTCAAACTTCAAAGACTTTTAAATCCATTGATGCTATTAGACTTGAAATCACTATGCAGTCAGGATTTTACTTCGTCAAAGTAATCTCCCCATTACGCCAGTTCGTTTTTACAATCATAGAAAAGGAAGCCATTGTAGGGATGACGCTCTGCCTATTTAGCTCTTAAAAACCGATAAATTTATCCACATAGCACCATTACGATCCTTAATTGTCAGTTGTATTTTAAAAGACAAATGTATCTACTAGCTAATGAGCATCAGTTAATGTTCTTGTCTGCATTGAGTCAACTTAAAACTATTGTCTGATCGGTTGTCAGAGGGAATTTTCGAAGATTCATAAACATTGAAAAAAATTCTAATTAAATATTTCGTGGAAGGGCAGACTATAAAAATTTTCAGTGCTTGTAGACTATAAACCCTTATTATGATTTTTTTTCGAAGATATGCATTTTTAAGATCCAACTTAAAAGACTGTCATCAAGTACTTTAAAGTAAAAATAAGTAATTCGAAAACACCTACTCTGTTTTTGTGATTCATTAGAAAGGTATTTCACTTGACCCATATATTTCATCTTTTAGTACTGTGAATTTTTGATGTTATAAAGTCAACCTGTAGCCTTGATATATAAAAATGATAGAATCTGAAGCGACATGATGTATCAAATACTCTTGCTTTGTACGTTTTCAAGACTAACTATTCAACTCAAACACGCCCTAACATAAAAAGGTGCACTCGATTTTCTCTTTTCGATACATTTCTTACCCATTTTTTGGTTTTTTTCTTGAGTCACATAATAGAAGGGCAGACACGAAAATTACTGAACTAATAGGTTGATATGTTCTGCGTCCGTGGTAAAAAAAATTTGAAAATCGGAGGTTATGCATTTTCTACATCCAACTTGATAGATATCCATGTTGTCGACTTGATATCTAATTGTTCTGCTTAACTATGTAATAGATAAATTGAAAACTTATGCAAATGGTATTTTTGAAATAAAATACTTCGGAATTGAGTAGAAAATTGTCATTTTATTTGTTTCTATTAACTTTTTAAATTTTTGTTACTATAGTAAACATTACAGCAAACATTTATCGCCTTCTCTAACAAAGAGCTTCGATTCTTTTGTTCTATTTCAACCGGGTTTCCGCCTGTATGGTCTTGGCACATGATATTCCATTATTATAGATATACAAAAACTTAAAATCTGATGGATAAAAGTTTAAAAAAATTCGTAAGGGTTCCGCGGAACCCAGTGTCTCGCCTACTTTTGCTGTTAATCGCAGGCTCAACAAAGATGAGGAAAAAAATCTATAAAAATATTCCTTTAGATACTATCTTTTGATTGTAAGAAGCTTCTGTCAAAGTTTGGTATAAATCCAGGATATTTTATGAATCTAATAAATGTTTTAAAAACTTTAACTGCAGACTGTATTTCATGTTAACTGGAAGAAAAACAAAGTCCATTTATAAGTAAAATATGGATAAACAGGTACAAATTTTAACAAAATTTCCTTCTAGATACTACCTTTTGATCATAAACAAGCTTCTGTCCAAGTTTGGTACAAATCCAGGACAGTTTAAGAAAGTTATTAAAATTTTAACAAGAGTGCACACGCTGAAATGTCTCGCCTTCTTTACTAATCATTGATATTATGTTGATAGTCCTAAATATAAAGCTTAATTACAACTGTCAAATAAACTTGACATTAACCAAGAAAACTAAACATTGACCAATGAACCATGAAAATGAGGTCAAGGTCAGATGAACCATGCCAGGCAGACATGTACAGTTAACAATTCTTCCATAAAACAAATATAGTTGACCTATTGCTTATAGTTTAAGAAAAACAGACCAAAACACAAAAACTTAACACTGAGCAATGAACCGTGAAAATGAGGTCAAGGTCATATAAAACCTGCGCGACTGACATATAGATCATAAAATATTTCCATACACCAAATATAGTTGACCTATTGCATATATTAGTATTAGAAAAAAAGACCAAAACTCAAAAACTTAACTTTGACCACTGAACCATGAAAACGAGGTCAAGGTCAGATGACACCTGCAGCTAGACATGTACACCTTACAATCATTCCATACACCAAATATAGTAGACCTATTGCATACAGTATAAGAAAAACAGACCAAAACACAAAAACTTAACTATAACCACTGAACCATGAAAATGAGGTCAAGGTCAGATGACACCTGCCAGTTGGACATGTACACCTTACAGTCCTTCCATACTACGAATATACTACACCTATTGCTTATAGTATCTGAGATATGGACTTGACCACCAAAACTTAACCTTGTTCACTGATCCATGAAATGAGGTCGAGGTCAAGTGAAAACTGTCTGACGGGCATGAGGACCTTGCAAGGTACGCACATACCAAATATAGTTATCCTACTACTTATAATAAGAGAGAATTTAACATTACAAAAAATGTTAACTTTTTTTTCAAGTAGTCACTGAACCATGAAAATGAGGTCAAGGACATTGGACATGTGACTGACGGAAACTTCGTAACATGAGGCATCCATATACAAAGTATGAAGCATCCAGGTCTTCCACCTTCTAAAATATAAAGCATTTAAGAAGTTAGCTAACGCCGCCGCCGCTGCCGGATCACTATCCCTATGTCGAGCTTTCTGCGACAAAAGTCGCAGGCTCGACAAAAACTATAACCACAGAGTGAATGTATTGTTTCCTGGCAGAAAAACTAAGTCCATTTATAAGTAAAATACAGAAAAAAGGAAATTTTTTTTTAACAAATTTACTTCTGGATACTATCTTATGATCATAAACAAGCTTCTGTCCAAGTTTGGTACAAATCCAGGATAGTTTAAGAAAATTATTAAAATTTTAAAAACTTTAACCACAGAGTGAATGTAATGTTTCCCAGCAGAAAAACTAAGTCCATTTACAAGAAAAATACGGAAAAACAGGAATTTTATTTTTACAAAATTTACTTCTGGATACTATCTTATGATCATAAACAAGCTTCTGTCCAAGTTTGGTAGAAATCCAGGATAGTTTAAGAAAGTTATTAAAATTTTAAAAACTTTAAACACAGAGTGAATATTTGTGGACGCTGCCGACGACGACGCCGACGGAATATAGGATCGCTATGTCTCGCTTTTTCGACTAAAGTCGAAGGCTCGACAAAAAAACCTGAAAATGCTGAAACATAACATTTTGTTCATATATTTTAACTTAATTTACAAGAGTCACATCACTAATTTCTGATGGATGAAAAAGTTCAAATTAAATCTGAAAATGCACAGATTTAATACTTCGTTTTATTAACTTATGTTATAAATTTCCTTTTCAGGTAACACACCATGCGGACCAAACAAAATCATTAAAGTTGGGAGATTTTGGACTTGCTACATATTGCAATGAAACCTTATTTACTGTATGTGGAACACCTACCTATGTAGCACCTGAAATACTCACAGAAGTTGGGTAAGAATTATTGTTAAAAACATAAAATATACTGAACAATACTTCTACTGAAATTTTAAATACTGATAAAGAAACTATAACAGAATTACAAAGCATGTTATACAGACTTTTGTTTAAAATATATATATATTGAATCCTGTTTTTTAGGTACAGTATAGAAGTTGATGTTTGGGCAGCTGGGATTATACTATATATTCTTTTATGTGGATTCCCTCCCTTTGTAAGGTATGTTGTATACTTAAATACTACTTGTAAACAAATTTAACATGTATAAAAACTTAAAATTGACATTTTGCCAACAGTAAGAATGTGAAACTAACCTCTGAAGAACAGGTTAAATTCACAGAAATTTTAAACTTACTTTGAAGAATGTCTCTATTTTGGCTTGGCTATCCTTATATTTCACAAGTGTATACCCTTTTAATTATACATTTGAGTGAAAGTCATCTATCATTTTGTTGGAGTGATGTTCTACGTTGATTCACTAAAACTGTAATTTACAACTTACAAACTTAATGCATGGAATGTCGAAAACTAACATCTATAAACCAGGGGCTGGTTTTTGTATTCAATTTCTTAGGTCATTTTTCTGTTTTCTTTTGCCCATTATTCTCTATATTTTCATACCCAGTTATTCTCTATTCTTTACCCATTAAACCCCATTTAGACCCCCATCAACAGAAGTATATACAACCTATCAAGATAGTCTTTTTTTATTACAGTGACACAAACAATACAGAAGAATTATTTGACAAAGTAATTGATGGATATTTTGAATTTTCTTCACCATACTGGGATGATGTATCAGATTCGGCTAAAAATCTGATAAGTCAGATGTTAGACATCAATCCAGAATCTAGGTTAACTGCTGAGGATGTAATGTCACATGAGTGGATTATTGTAAGTCAGAACATTATGTTTGGAAAGGACAAATAGAAGAATTGAAATGGATATATATTACAGAACTGCAATTATTATTTATTTGTACTTTGAAAGTCATGAAACTTCAGTTTTCTGGCTCATTTCAGATTTTTAATAAATGGCTTTAATTTTATTCATTACTACATTAAAATAATCAATGCAGTATTTTAATACACTGATAATAAAACACAGATTCAGGTGCTGCCACTCCTTTCAAAATTGGTATAAAATATTATGTATGAAAACTAATGTTGATATTCTAGGCTAGAAGAGACAAATTGATTTTGGCTTAAAGTTCTTCTCTCATCACAGGTTAAATAACTTCCATCTTTCGGAAAAATATCCAATGTTTCAAAGATGTTTGATAAATTTCTACAACATTTCAATGGAATTTGAGCAAGTCAGATACAAAAAAGTTTTTGCTAATGAAAAAGGTGAATAATATGAAATTACCTGCAACAAACCTTAAATATAATGCATTTATTGTAAATTCAGCGTGGAGCAAATAATTTTCTTATATTTCAGAATGACAAGGCCAGCGATTCAGACATGCAGGTACAAGTAGCAAAGAAACTTAAGAAACATTTCCGTAGGAGGAGTAAGGCATCATTAAGTACTGCTGGAATCAGGCTTGTCGCTGTAAGTTTGGCATTTTATTATTTCAATGTGTTATATATCAATTTAGTCAAAAACTCAACACAATAAATTACTTAGTGTTTTATAATACTTAATATTATTTGGAGTATTTTGTTTTATCTAGGTAAAATTATAAAAGATATATAATTTGTTCTTATGCTTATTTACTTGAGAATAAAATAATCTATTTTCTTTCACCACCAATCATTATACATATATATCAATGTCTATTTGTAAGTAAATTTTTTCCCTCATTTTTGTTGATACATTTTCTTTTCAAAACAACTCTCTTTCAGACCACTCCACTAGACAAAGCATCTAGATATTTTGAAGGACATAAGAGACAACCACCATTAACACTTCCACAAGATGAACAAGAAGAAGAAGATGAAGTCTACTAGGAATACAAAAATACCAAATAATTCCATGGCAGCCATTAAACTTTAAAATACAGATAGTTTACAGCAATCGTGTTATAGACTCGCTCAATAAATAAATAATCCTTGTAACAAAACTGTAAAATTTCAAAGAAGTTGTTGATTAAGATTTCACACACCTTGGGGGGTGGGGGATGGGTATTTTTTCATGGTACATGTATAGCAAAGCCATGTATTATTATAATTTAAATATTTCCTTACAATATCAAGTCTGAAACAACAAAATCTAAATCACTATAACCAATCAGGAAACACAATAAATAGTATTGAATAAAATTTCACATAGTCCAACTGTTGCCCCTTGTCAGTTTACGCTTACTGGTTTATAAAGCAATGGCTTATTCTAGAATTTTTAAACATTTTCTTTCGCAGCTGATCCATGCCTTATATCTGTGAGACTGAGCTATTCTAATCAATAGTTTTTTTTATCAAAAATAACAGTATTCTTTGCAAATACATGACAATGATGAAAAATATTAAATCATTCAAATTAACTGATAGATATGGTGGTAACTTCCGAGGAAGTAAATAGTTTTCAAAAATGATATTGATAGCCATTTTGGCAGATTTCTCGAAATGAGTGATATGATCACAAAAATTTTGTATAGGACCGACACAATTTTTGGTATATTGTTATATAAATAATAGTAAGGACCAGCAGATTTTCTTCAAGAACTACCCAAGAAAATCAGATTTTAAGAACTATGTTCTGGTGATATCTAGTTTAATACAGGGATGATTTTGCTTTAAAATCATTAAAATTTATCTGAATTAAAGAAGAATATGTCTAAGAACACTGGAAATATAACAATTAAAGAATTTTTAAATTGTTGACTTTTAAAGATTTATGCTTCCCAGAAATGCATATTTTGTTTATTATGTCATTATCATATTTTCCTCATTATATGCCATTTGTATAGTCATGGGTTAACAAGTTTTACCCCGCTTAGGCTTTGCAATTTTCCAAGTTATAAAGGGCATAACTCTAGAAGTTAGACTAGAACGGTAAGTGACTCACTGCCCAAATTCGAACTCTGTCTGCAGGTTTTGGTTCTTAGCATTGTGTATGAGATTCATAAAATTTGGATGAGGAAAACTAAAGTTAGAGTGTGGAAACGAAAAATATGTGACGGGCAGTCAAGGGTAACACTTAGTTCCCCTATTGCCTGCGGTGGGGGCATAAAAACCTCCACCCATTTCGAAAGTATTATTTTCTAACAACTCTCAATAAGTCCAGCAACTTAAAAAGAATTTCAAAAAGGGAAAAAAACTCATAATAGTTAAATAGTTGATAAGTAATTCCTGTTAATAGATTTGTAGATATATTTGATATCCATTCCCTTCTATTATCAAGTATACATACAATATATCAGCATTATTGTGCTTTAGTATTGTGATATTTCTGTTGGTGCTGAATGTTGTTTATTTTGTTGTGCCTTTGATATTGTAAATAATTACACCAATATTTCTTCTTTAAAGTTGTAATTTATTATGCAAAATGTTTGTTTTGTTGAAAATGCCAATCATTTACTATATTCCATCTTCAATGAACAACAAGAAGCTTTTGAAATTTCACTGTCAATGCAAACAGGTGGTGAAAATTAAATCCAATTTTTGATAAAGTTTTGTATTAACAATGTTTTTAATTGTACCGTTAAAAAGAAAAGACAAGTCATTTTACTGTTACTTCTGTATGTTCAAGATTTACTTTATTGATAAGGGTTGCACTGTTCAAATGAATGAACTATGAACTATTTTCACTACTCAAACAACAACCATAAGTTAAAATTTTATTAGCTGTTTTATGAATTACCAGGTTGCTGCATTTGTTATATGCCAATTTATTGTTCGCTAATTTATTTATGAATAAAATTTAAACTGTTTTCATTCATTATTATATATCACTCAATTGCCAATTACAACTTATTTATTGCGTTTAGACTTGGATTATATTGATCAATAAGATATTGAAATTACTGATAACAGGACACTTAGTTATTCTACATGCTACAGCTTTTCTACTATAGTCCGTTGAGTACAAGGATGTTTGCCTAAGCTTTTCAATTCAAATTGAAATTGGCAGAATTTGAAAATTGTTCATGGAGAATACTGGGATTCGATTGGATAAATAATATAATCAAGATGACAATTTCAATTGCAATGCATGAGGAAACTTGGAAAGCAAACCCGCCAAACTTTTGTTGAAGGTCCTGTTGCCATTAGTTTTTGTCGAGCCTGCGACTTTTGTCGCAGAAAGCTCGACATAGGGATAGCGATCCGGCGGCGGCGGCGGCGGCGGCTACGGCGGCGGCGGCGGCGTTAGCTAACTTCTTAAAAGCTTTATATTTTAGAAGATGGAAGACCTGGATGCTTCATACTTTGTATATGGATGCCTCATGTTACGAAGTTTCCGTCAGTCACATGTCCAATGTCCTTGACCTCATTTTCATGGTTCAGTGACTACTTGAAAAAAAAGTTCAGATTTTTTGTAATGTTAAATTCTCTCTTATTATAAGTAATAGGATAACTATATTTGGTATGTGCGTACCTTGCAAGGTCCTCATGCCCGTCAGACAGTTTTCACTTGACCTCGACCTCATTTCATGGATCAGTGAACAAGGTTAAGTTTTGGTGGTCAAGTCCATATCTCAGATACTATAAGCAATAGGTCTAGTATATTCGGTGTATGGAAGGACTGTAAGGTGTACATGTCCAACTGGCAGGTGTCATCTGACCTTGACCTCATTTTCATGGTTCAGTGGTTATAGTTAAGTTTTTGTGTTTTGGTCTGTTTTTCTTATACTGTATGCCATAGGTCTACTATATTTGGTGTATGGAATGATTGTAAGGTGTACATGTCTAGCGGGCAGGTTTTATTTGACCTTGACCTCATTTTCATGGTTCAGTGGTCAAAGTTAAGTTTTTGAGTTTTGGTCTTTTTTTCTAATACTATGTGCACTAGTTCAACTTTATTTGGTATGTGCGTACCTTGCAAGGTCCTCATGGCCGTCAGACAGTTTTCACTTGACCTCGACCTCATTTCATGGATCAATGAACAAGGTTAAGTTTTGGTGGTCAAGTCCATATCTCAGATACTATAAGCAATAGGTCTAGTATATTCGGTGTATGGAAGGACTGTAAGGTGTACATGTCCAACTGGCAGGTGTCATCTGACCTTGACCTCATTTTCATGGTTCAGTGGTTATAGTTAAGTTTTTGTGTTTTGGTCTGTTTTTCTTATACTGTATGCCATAGGTCTACTATATTTGGTGTATGGAATGATTGTCAGGTGTACATGTCTAGCGGGCAGGTGTCATCTGACCTTGACCTCATTTTCATGGTTCAGTGGTCAAAGTTAAGTTTTTGAGTTTTGGTCTTTTTTTCTAATACTATGTGCAATAGTTCAACTAAATTTGGTATGTGCGTACCTTGCAAGGTCCTCATGCCCGTCAGACAGTTTTCACTTGACCTCGACCTCATTTCATGGATCAATGAACAAGGTTAAGTTTTGGTGGTCAAGTCCATATCTCAGATACTATAAGCAATAGGTCTAGTATATTCGGTGTATGGAAGGACTGTTAGGTGTACATGTCCAACTGGCAGGTGTCATCTGACCTTGACCTCATTTTCATGGTTCAGTGGTTATAGTTAAGTTTTTGTGTTTCGGTCTGTTTTTCTTATACTGTATGCCATAGTTCAACTATATTTGGTGTATGGAAATATTTTATGATCTATTTGGCAGTCATGCAGGTTTTATTTGACCTTGACCTCATTTTCAAGGTTCATTGCTCAGTGTTAAGTTTTTGTGTTTTGGTCTGTTTTTCTTAAACTATAAGCAATAGGTCAACTCTATTTGTTGTATGGAAGAATTGTTAGCTGTACATGCCTGCCTAGCATGGTTCATCTGACCTTGACCTCATTTTCATGGTTCATTGGTCAATGTTTAGTTTACTTGGTTAATGTTAAGTTTATGTGACAGTTGTAATAAAGCTTTATATTTAGGACTATCAACATAATATCAATGATTAGTAAAGAAGGCGAGACATTTCAGCGTGTGCACACTTGTTTTTATACATGTATGCAAAAGACAATACTATTCTATTATTAAAACTTATATAATCAAAGTCTAACAGTAGCCCCACTTTCTTGAAGTTAAAATGAGTAAGTGTATCTGAAATTACAAGGTTGTATTCTAAGTAAAGTCAAAGAAAAACTTCTTATCCACATCTAGGGATGAGGATCTATTAACAATACACACTTTCATGTACATCCAACAAATTATGCAGCCATCTGCAGACATGATGAATCTAATAAGCTCTGGGGAAAATATGAAGCAGAAATACCCTATCCTTACAAATAAACTTTTAAAACTTCATACAGTGGAGAAAATCTGGAAAACAATAAGGTATCTAATATTCAACAAATTTCAAAGAAAAAAAACATACTAGATGTTGGATGTGTACTGATTGATATTTTAGTCTTGGATACATGATTTCTTTTATCAATTGTTATTGGCTTTGAACTTTGTCAGTAACTGCAAGTACTCGCAGATCTTTACTTTGTGTTTTTTTTGTTTTTAGGGATGTATAAATACTCTGCCACATCCAGTCTGTTTTTTTTGTTCGATGTTTTCTGCTTTGTATCGATCCAACTAGTTTTCAACTGAATTTTATAGTTTGTTCTAATGTTGTACTGTTACACCACTGTCCCAGGTTAGGGAGAGGGTTGGCACCTTCAAACATGTTTAACCCTGCCACATTCTATCTGTGCCTGTCTCAATCAGGAGCCTGTAGTTCAGTGGTTGTCGTTGGTCCATGTCCGTCATATTTGTCTTTCATAAACTGTTTTAGGCCTTTAGTTTTCTAAATTGAATTGATTCATATTTTTCATGTCGGGGCCTTTTATAGCCGACTACATGGTATGGGTTTTTCTCATGATTGAAGGCTGTATGGTTGCCTTTAATTGCCTACATCCACTTCACTTGAACTTTGGTGGAAAGTTGTCTCATTGGCAATCATACCACATCTCCTAATTTTATATAGCTAGCTCTCTATATCATAAGTGGTTCCCCTTAAACTGACCTAATCACAAACTTAAACAACTTGTTGACGGTGCCGCTGAAAACAGCATACCCAGTCTCACATTTTTGACTCTGTCAAGTCAAAACAATAAATCAGAACATTTTCAAAATCATGTTCACTCTTACTTTCACCAATTCCAACAATGATGTAATTTTTCCAAGCAAAATTGAGAAATGGTAAAACATGTGAAAAATTTATTTAAATCTGACAGTTAAAAGTCCCACAACTCTAGAACAACTAACCAGAAAACTTTCAAAATCAAAAGGGAGGCTCCTTTTATTAATTCAAACAATAATGTAAAGTTAAAAGGATACATTGGAATCATACAGTAGTCAGTGTGAGATATTGAAATAAACTGTTATCACAGAGATATGTCTCGCCTTTTTGTAATTTTCATAATGCAAATGTTGAAATTAAAATAGCAATACATTAACCCATAAGTTATGCAAATATTCAAAGTCGATGAACCATGACTGAAGGTACATGGCTAAACACTCTCCATGAAAATTAGATGTGCCAATGCTAATGGTGCATTTATATTGGTACTGTTAATGTTATTGTCTTCAACTTCGTTGCTGTGAACTAAATAGGGAAAGGAAGTGACTTTTCTTTATGTGAGTTAAAACAATATCAAGTTAGCAGACTAATTACCCAAGGAATTCCTGCACTTAGCAGTTATCTCTCTAAAAAGAAGTAAAGTTTATGGAATTTTAATATCTTTTTATTGGCAAAATTACAAAATACATAAATTTGCATATATCTATTCATAGAAAAAAATTAACAAAATACAAACTTCAAAATCTGATGTATTAACAATCAGCACTATGTATTATAAACTCTTCAAGTCAAATATGGCACCATGATTATCCAAATATTAATAGAATTAAACAAGCGATAATTGTGTGATGGGAATTCTTGAAAAATCGTCATGATTGGTCTTTAACAGTAAAATCTAAGATACAGCTAATATATTTTTGACAAATCACAACCCTGAGATCATTGACAATTATTATGCAAATATCATGCAAGGTTTTTTTCAGACCACGCCTACCATCAGTGTCCATTTACACCATTCACAGCTACAGCTTGGTCCCTCACTTTTTTATCGGCATACTTCAACCCCGTCCATGTATTGAGTTGTGTGGCTCTAAGTTTGCTCCAGATGACATGCTCATTCAGAGATAGAGTTTGGGCAGCCATTAAAGCTGCTGCTTCAGGTGACATAACAGTACTACAACCTAATCCTGGAAATATAACAATTAAACAATTTTTAAATTGTTGACTTTCAAAGATTTTTTGGTTCCCACAAATGCATAATTTTGTTTTTTTATGTCATTATAATATTCTCCTTATTACATACAATTCATATAGAGTCATGAGATAACACTGTTACAGGAGTTCACAGATTTGAACATGACTTCATTATTTTTCAAAGTAGGAATAACACAGTGCTGTTACACCACAAGCACAAGGAATCCATTTTCTCATATAATGAAATGCTCTGCAGGTCGCAGCTTGATAAGACTGCAGAAGACGAACCCTGAATAGTTGGGAGCAAGTATGGACACAACATTCAAGCTTAATACAGCTATGAATTTGGATTGTGGTTAATATGTAATAAACCCCATTGAAATTGGTCAAGAAATAAGCAATTTACAGAAAGTATTAGAAAAATATTGTTTTTGGGCCCTTTTCCCTTAAAGCAAAAACAATCCCTACCTTCCTTTTTTTAGTATGGGACATTGTGGTACAATTTTACAGAGATCCATAGACTTTTACTAAACTTATTGTCCAGAAATCAGAAAATCCTTGTACTTTGGCCCCTAATTCCTGAACGGTTTGGGCCATAACCCCCAACTTTACTTTTGAGGTATGGAACCTTATGGTACAATTTCATAGACATCCATATACTTATACAAAAGTTATTGTCCTGAAACAAGAAAAATGCTTGATTTTGGCCCCTTTTTTACCCTTCATACCATTACACGACTTCAAAAAACTATTTTGCAGTCTTCTTTAGCTTTTCATACCCACAAGTTCATGAATTTCACAGAAATGAATGGAAACAAAATCCCTTCATGTGCAGGACAAAACCCATTTCAAAATAAAAACGCTTTCAACTTTTACTTATCTCATAGTCATATTGAGGCTCTCAACCAAAATCAATAGTTACTTTCGGGTTTCAAAATGTTATTAAATTGTAAGATCAAAATAATTGCTATCTCTTTGTGGATAACACTTAAAATGAAACCAAAAATCACAATTGAACCCTGAATTTCAATAATATTACATTTTGAATCCAACAATTTGCCAATTTTCCAATAAAATTTAAGACATTGGTATTTCTATGTTGTTTGGTTGACAAAAACCTATACCTCTTATACTTAGTTAGAAAAATACCTGATGGCAGTCGTAAAGATGACCATACGTCCTGTGATCCCCAATCTGGTGACAATGGTGGACAGTTGATTACAGGCCACACAGCATTACCAGATAATACTGGTCCTAAACCGTTACTTCTACCTGCTACTGCTATAAACACTGTTGGAATTCCCTCTCCTGAAATAGAGTATAACATATAGAGGACATGGAAAAATGGCATAACATTCAGTATTGAAAACAACTCTTTACCAATAATCACTCCACCCATTGCTGAAATATCACTTTTTACAAATCCTCCCTAACATTACTCCCTCCTAAGTAACATCTACATGTATATAACTATCTTCAGTGACATTGGAAACTTGTTAATCAGTAGTCTCTTAAATAATATCTAAACATCATGTTAAGTTAAATCTGGAAAATGCAGTATTAAACCCTTTTTAGGGTTATATATTTTACTGTGAAAGTATATTTATTTGTGGTTTGAACCAAAGTTTCATGTTCCTGGGTTTTTATTTTTCTAAGAAAAAAATTGAGTGAAGAATTTGAAGCCATCAGAATGTAGATTCTTGAATACAAGTCATATGTTGTTTTATAATGATTTGTTGGACATTGCAAAATAAGTTATTCATTTTCACTTCTTTTTCGTTTTTCATTACTGACAACATTATTCATATTTAAATAAAATAATTTCTTTAGGAAATAAGCTGATTCATCTATGCTTACAAATTATCTTGATTGAAGGAGATTGCAGAGTTATCATTTTAATTTTTGCACTCGAGTAATCAGAAGTGATGACACTTTTTAACCCGAGATGGAATGATCAACAGATTAACAATCATCAAAGGTGTTAATTGGGCCATAAACATGTCACTTAAAAGAAAACAGTAACATAAAAAATGCTACAAATTTACTTTGAATTTTAGAATTAATTCTAATGAAATAAAAAGGCAAGCTCAATATGAAATATTTCTTTTATTTCATATGAGAATTATGTTAAAGATAATGCATATTTTAAGGTCTTTCTTGTCGTATAACACACCCTCAAGGTGTGCTAAAAGACAAAAAAACTGTAGGACAAGAAAGACCTTAAAATATGCATTATCTGACTTATATACCATCAAAAATCATCATTTTCAGGAAATTGTATCCAATTTTATCAATCATTAAAGTTGGAAGTTCGTTTAGGTATGACAACGCCCCACGGCTCAATTATAAGGTGAAATAAAACTCACTAATCTAGATATAAACCTAGTTATCATTGTCCAGTTCAATCACAATTGTACTGTAATTGCACAAAGCAAGAAATAAAATCAATTGTGAAAATACTAGTCATGCACTTTGCAAGTAATTTATCATATTATCAACTTATTCATAGGAAGAATTATGGTTTTTTTCTCTGGTTTTGTGACATTTTTACCACGAAAAACATTATTTTTTCATCAACTTAAAAGGAACTAACTTTTTTTCTTAAAAAATTTGGAACCAGGATAGAATTTTATATAATTTTACCTCGCATAATTGTGCGTAAAATCTGTGTTCTTGTTTAAGTATTTCAATCTAATGAATGGAGTAATGAATTGTTTCTGTATAAAATTTTCAACGGAATATTTAAGATAGACAATGCAGTGGCGGATCCAGAACTTTTTATAAGGGGGGCCCACTGACTGCCATAAGAGGGGGCCCACTACAGTCATGCTTCAGTGACTCCCTATATAATCAACCAAATTTTCCCCACAAAAGGGGGGGCGGGCCGGGCCCCCTGGATCCGCCTATGCAATGGTATAGAAAACCCCCCAATTGACAACAACACACGATTACTATCAAATAATGTTTAAAAAAAAAGGTAGTTTACATATCAATTCGGGTAAATAATGACCTGACACATGGAGCACTTTTCATTTAAATTTGGTATTGTCCGGGCTGATTCTTCAAAAGAATGACCTATTGTTCTGAAAGAAAATAACTCCATATATGTATATAAGAGGAGATAAAATGGACACTTCCATCATACCATACCATCACCAGAAGTCTGACTTTCATCAATCAAAAATAATTTTTCATGAGAATTAAAAGGTTAAATAGAAGTCGCATAGTTTAGGTTTTTTAAGATTAAATGGGTAAAATCCTGTCTGATATTTGATGTATTCTCTACATTATGTGCCTGTATCCATGTAGCCAAATCTACATGATCTTTCCATGTCTTGATTTGGACAACAGTTGTTATATTTGGTTGGACACTTCAATTCGTGGATAAAGCCATCCATGAAGAAAGTACTTTCACAGTATATAATACTAAGATTGAATTTTAAAATCTCAATAACAAGTTTCCAGAAACATTTTACTTGATTGGAGTCATTTTTGAAAGCTTGACAATTTGGCATCCTGTTCAAGTTCACCAAGGTCAGAAAAGATATCATTTCAACGATATTGTATGTCAAAATAAATCAATGCTAGTAAGTATATATTTTGTAGTGCAAAAGCTTGGATTCTTAAATTGGTAATGATTCTTGTGACATTTAGTAATTTATGCTATGAAAGAAATCATTGTTTTTTTCTGGACAATCTGACCTTGTGATGAATTGTCAACATAAGTGATCAATTTTGTTAAATGAGAAGTGTTCTCCCCAGGATTTTAGGATAGCACCAGGGTAACGCGTGTGGACAGCTTGGTGAAATGATTCATACTATCAGTTGTGTTGCGTCGCGACGCTTAGCTTTTATTTCTAGTTACTGTAGTTTTTATGTCTCTTGTTTCATTTTAATACTGTGGTACTGTATTATGTACATGTATAGACATTGAGTCAGAAAATTATAGGTAAAAAAGAAGTAAATCAAAAAACAGTTTGTTTACTTTAATACTTTTTTAAAATGAATAAAACATTATTCATTACAAAATATTCATCTAAATTTAAAGTAATTGAATCTTTTATAAAATCATGATCAATAAAAATAAAATATCATTCAAAAGAGAACAAAAATGTTCAATTTAAAAAACTTTCTAGTTTCTAGAAAGAAAGTTGTTGTAATATGTGAAAGGATTCCTGTCATAAGGAGATATAAAATTAACAAGAACAAATATTGTTTTATCATTTGAACCAGTATCTATCTTAAATTTAAATAAAAAGAAATTTTCATAAATTTTTAAACATTTTGCCATAGATTTCATGTAAATATTAACCTTTCTTGTCTTTGGTGATAATCAAACAAAGATACAGACTTAAAGGGAAAATTCGCGATTTTTGACTTATCATCTTATTATGTTCATAATACCATTAAAAACATATTCACCAAGTTTTATCTGGATATGAAAACTAATAAAGAAGAAAATTGGGAATTATTAATTCTATTTATTCAAACTTCCTGACTTATGTGACGTAGTTTAAGTCTTTTTGCATGCCGGGAGTGGATTAATCTCATTTAAAGTCTTGTTCGTTAATCATCTAATAACGCGATTTAAAGCGCATCAACGACTTTTGGTGTAGCTATTAACCAACTAACAATTCAGAAAGAAAAGTGATTAGCCGTGCATTTTTTTAAATTAAAATTTACGATTTATATTTTTAGGGTTTCTGATATGATTATAGTAATAAAAGCAAATCATACAATAGAATTTTTTTATGATTTTTTTTCGACGGATATTTTGAACAACATATATAACTGATAGTATAATAGAAATTCACGTTTGTATTCTCCCCTATTACTTCAGTCGAGGATTTGTCTTACTATACAAATCCTTGCATCAGTCTAGTACTGTGTAAATACAATGCATGTGTATTATGCTGACACCACCTGGTAAAGGCGTGGTTAAATTCACGGTAATTAAAAGATTAGCATTATGTAATTTTAATCCTTTGATCTTCACTAGAGTGGTGTTTGTCCTCAAGGGTTCGCTGTTGCAGGTATGAGACAGATTTTTTTTAATTATTAAGGGAGGAATATGGTGGCAAAATACCTTAATCGCCGTTATATATATTTTTTTTTAACATTTTGCATTTGCTCAGTTTTTAAATAAATAGGTGAGTATTTTGTTGTAACATCGAAATTCGGAATCACTTTTAATAAAATAATTATATAAATATTATAAATGGCACACGAAAACGAGCGTATATATCAAAACAGTACTATTTTAAATTATCATCGGTAACCTTGAATATTTAAATGTGCAGAGAAAATTATCAGTTACAAAAATATAGTTTTGTCGTCCAAAGCGATCTTCATTTACCTAATCAGGAATGTCCTTATTAAAATATTATAAATCTCACAACGTATTTATATAATTCTTCAGCTATTTGACCAACGATGTTTAAAAAAAATAACAGAATCAATCTAACGTCAACTTTCCTTTTTTAAATGGAGACAGAACGTCGAAATCAATTTTCAATGTGCTTGATATCTTGTACCTTTGTAAGACTTATCATTCATTCATAAACCCACTCTTAACCAGAGACATATATACGTCTGTTTAAACTGACAAGAAAACTCCTAAAGCGGACAAGCAGTATATTCTGTAAATTTCTGAGATTTAATACAAAGAAATAAAAAAAATCCCGAAATGAATTTGATCCTGGAAAATATTCACATCCTCATTCGGTCTGAAAAAAAGATACGAATTTGGTATACAGAACATGCAGAAGTGTGAATGTTATAAAACCTAATTGTTATATCAGAAACCATTATAAATATGAACATGTATACGTAAGACCTCATGGGACGTCACCTAACCACATTCAGGTAATATACAAGTAGCTCTGTTATACCCGGAAATGTCAAGGTTAATCAATGATAGATAGACATGACCTCAGACCCCCCCCCACCCCCCCCCCCCCCACCCCAAATCGAGGAACAGTATATCTTACAATGTGTATATTCCTGCAAAAATAAAAATAAAATGAGAAAAAAGAAAGAGATGAACGGTAAGTCACATCAGATTCAGATATTTATATAGTTGCTTGTCGTTAAATAGAGATCTAGTGTATACATGTCTCTGCGTTAACTTATAAAAATAACAGGAAATAATAAATTTGAAATAGATTTATGATGAATACTTTGCAACTGCGACACCCCTTTTTATCACAGCGTACATGCATGCATTTAAATGACAGTCCGTTATGCCATTTAGAATGACAATCGTAAGTACAATCCTATAGTTCATGGTGAGTCCTTTTCTATCAGATATGCGACTTTTCGTATTTATATTTTCTCTTATATTACCGGTACTGTCATTTAATATCTAATGCATAAGTGCAATATTAAGAGTGGTTAAATCCCCTACAAGCTAACTAAATAAATAAATCAACCCTCTAGCTGACCAGACGTTAATACAACTACCATCAGTCTATCCGGAGTGAAGTTTCTTTATTTCTTCAAATAGGCTTTTGGGGATCATTAGTGCACGTCCAGTGGAATATATATATAACATGCATGTCGGACCAGGAAAATGTGATGATGACGAATTTCTTAAACTGTTCGAAATAATCTTATTGAAATATAAATCTGTGATTTTACTATGTCTATAGCTTCGATGAACCAAAGCAAGTTAGATATCGACCTGTATTTAAATCAGATTGGTTCTGGATGTTTCTCTCGTATATTCAATATACTTGTATGATATTAGTTCTATATTGCGACTATCCATAGTTCCGTATTAAACCTTCCATCTAGGCGTATAAACCAATGATCGACAAGTGCCGCACATTTTGTTAAATCAATATTTGTATGTTTCAAAATGTCCATAATTATTGACAACGGGTATATACTTACATTTTCCCCAATTTACCCTTGGAAAATGTGTAAATAGATTTTTATTTCATCAAATTTTTTTTTTAATTATTTAAACTTTCATAAATATCATTCTTTACACCAAAAATGTTATTTATAAACAAGCGTATGAGTTTAGCAATGACTAGTATATCACTATCGGATACGCTATACAAAGTTGTATATTACACCTGATAGATTCAAAATGGAAGTTACATGTTATCGGCCGTGTACACTGATCAATACCCCCAGAAAAGAAGTGATGCACGAACTTGTTTTATGTAATTGTGTAATAACAGTTTTAAAGCCCGACAGGAAATCGCTTGAATACCTGTACGTGTCACCTCACAATACCTCTGGGAACAATTCCTTTAGCCATTCTGGTGATCAGATAAGGGAAGGTCCGAATTTATTTTAAAAAGTTTATTACATAAAACAATTATGAACAAACTAGATTTTCAAAAACAATTTTACACGGAACACTTATTTATAACTTTGACTTTTTCACTAATTTCAATTTATTGTTTTAAATACTTCGTAAACAAAACAGTTTCAAAACGACAGACCATACTATTAGTTATAGTTATTTAAAAAATAATATATATAAAATTACATTTTCCGTATCAAGTTAGTTAGGAAAGGTTGCACAACCATGTCTATCATAATCTTTTTTGTGACCCGGGAAACTGCTTTCCTTGTCAGATAAAACAACCGTACGCTTGACAAGATATCGACACTCAATTACGGCTACGTTAGGTTACTGCTTGTTTTGGTCCTTTGTGGTTTATAGATGTACCGTGGTCAATATTCGGGGAGGATGTCAAAATGGCCGCATGCGGAGAATTGATACTCTAAATTTAAAATCGATGGTGATTTCTTAACTTGCAGAATAAAACTTTAATATCTATGAATTTGTGCTTTTTTATACATAATGAACAGAATATGAATTTTTCATTTTTTTGCGAAGTTTCCCTTTAATACTGCACTCAAATCTAAATCTTTATTTGTCATGATCCATTTATAAAGAATTCCTAAATCTATAAATTTATCTTAGGTCTATAGATCTATAAGTAACCATATTCAATGACAACAACAAAGTCTCCCTATTTTTCCCGCCTTAATGACAGGAAGTAGATATAAATAGATTTAACATGTGCTTATGGATAAAATTTGCAAGATTACTTCTGTTATTCATTAATTATGGATATAGATATCAAGTTTGAAGGTACAGTCATGCATTTTATTTATAAAATAGAATAGATTGCAATTAATTGTAAATACACTTGAATATGCTACGCGAACTAACTGGGTCATGTGATATGTACAGATGATAATATTTACTTGTTGACTGATACTATAGTTTGAAACCCGACTATCATGCAATAATTATGTCCTAATTAAAGATCATTAGGCCATGGTTTAATCAGAGACATATAATACTATAATATAAGAATTGAGAAATGTATAATTGTCAATTATCCGTTAATCAGCCAGCTTTATCTATGGACCAAAACTGTATCGGCTTGTTTACAACTATCGGGTAGATACTGTTTGTGTACAAAGTATTTTCCGACTTGTCACAGGTCAGCGCTTGAGTGGGAGTGAAGCCATAAAATATTTATCTGTGACCATAAAGTTATGATCTCTTAATTAAAACACAAAAGAATTATGTAACAAGTGTTAATTACATCGATTAAATCCAATCAACAAGGTTCACCTCATAAGGTAAATCGATCACGTGGTGTAAACAATCTGTGTTAAACTGGTTTGAACTGGTAAAATTTCACCTGGAATTTTATACCGCACAGAAAAGATATAACAAGTCGTTTAAAACTTTACCTATTTACGATTTTTTTACAGAAAATTTTAGCACCACGGACAAAAATTATACATCGCGGTAAGACCGATAGCACCACGCTCAGAAATTATACATCGCGGGCCGGCGGTCCTTTAAGGGCCTGGGGAGAACACTGGAGAAATATAGACCTTTTTTTACAACAAAGATTATATTTTAATCAACAAAATCTTTCGTTTCGTAGCAATGATAATATACCTTCATATTCAGCCAATATTGACATGGTAGCATCAGTTCCTTTGTGAGCAGACGACACTCTCAATTCACATGGTACACCATATTTGGTACAAGCTGTCTTTATCTTTTCACAATGTGCCATATCTGTTGCAGAACCCATAATAACAACTGCTCTTGCTCTAGGTTTTCTATTTAATAACTAAATGAGAAAAAAAAACATCCTTTCATGTACTTGAATGTATTAATTCAAACTTATCATGCAAAATTCTTCCATCATGTCTGTCCATTTAGTGACTGCTTGGTGTTAATTTCAAAATATCAAAATGTTTTGTATAAAAATATTAAAACCTCCTCCTCCCCCCCCCCCCCCCCCCCAAGGATGAGGAGTGACTTTGATGTCAATTTGTGGTTTGTGTAGTAGTTCTACTGCATACCAAATGTCATTGACGTAGCATTAAAGGTTCCCCTTAGGCCTTAAACTGACCTAACCACAAATTTTAACTCTAAACGAAGCATAAGTTTCGAAGTCAATAGACAATGACTGTAAGAGCATGGTTAAACAAATTTCCATGGAAATTAGATATGTCAATGCCAATACGACTGCATACCAAATATCATTGAACTTCTACTAGTGGTTCTCCTAACTGACATAATCACAAATTTTAACAAGTAAACAAAGCAAAGGGTCAGTCATATACCATGACTTGGAGAGCAGATTAAAATAAATGGGGAATGTGTCCATGGGACACAGATGATGCCCATGCTTGCATATAACGTTATACAGGGACATAACTAAAGAACAGTAAAAGTGAAACTACACAAATTCGTACTTGATCTGAATTTTGTGGTAATAAGCATTGTGTATAATTTTCATAACATTTGGATGAGGCACTTAAGTTGGAGAACGGAAACAAAAAAATTTAGCAATTTTTCCATTAGTAAAGGGGCATAACTCTAGATGGGTAAAAGTGACACCACCAATATTCAAACTTGATCTGTGTTTTGTGGTAATAAGCATTGTGTATAAGATTCACAACATTCGGTTGAGGCAAACTTAACTTAGAGAACTGAAACAAATTCAGCTATTTTTCCATTTGTAAAGGGGCATAACTCTAGAAAGGTAATAATGACACCACCCAAATTCAAACTTGATCTGTGTTTTGTGGTAATAAGCATTGTGTATAAGTTTCATAACATTTGGTTGAGGCAATGCTTATACAAATGCACACTAAATATTGTTGACCTACCACTAGTAGTTCCCTTTAAACAAACCGAATCACAAACTAATACATTTTTGATAATTAAGTGGAACCAGCAGTCAAGGCGAGATAAATATGCTAGATAATTAATTGAGTTTATTCAACTTTGGACAGTTCTAGTTTAAGTTTCCTGACATAGCCTACTAAGTCTTGTCTCTGAGAGTTTTGGAAAAGTCTGGGTTAATTGTCAAGATTGTTGTTGTAACTCCTGATCCTCTTCTGAATTATGTACTTACTGTTACTTTGTCAGCCACCCATTCAAAGTTGCGCTTCACTGTGTCAAGTGCTTCCTGTGTGACAATGTCAAGGTTACGGTACACTTGTTTGTCTTTCATTAGTCTTTTGTCACCAGATGGCCATAACCTCCAAGAATCACTGTCAATTACATCCGACACCAGAATCTCACCTAAAATATAACATGATTTATATCTAATAATAATAATAAGAAAGAGTAATCCAATGTTGCAAATGTAACAATGCATGTGAATTTCACTATTTCAATTACACTAAAAAATTCTAAAATTACTCAAAGTACACAAAACATTTTTATAATATCTTGTATAACAGGGGTTCAAATTTGTGGTGGTCCGAGGTCCGTTACCATCCTTTTAGTAGTAAGATACACCCGATAGACTTTCGTATTTTGCAGGTTATAAAATTTTTACAATTGCATTTTGAATATAATCTATAAACCTAGTATAAGAAAAGAACAGAGTTCCAATGTCCCCCCACCTTGCACATATTTTATCTATCCAAGGGCAATAACTTAAAAAAAATTTTGGTTTGTTCTTTATAACTTTTTATAAATATCTTAGAGAAATGAAGGCTTGAGGACAAATACAATGCAATTTCCAATATAAGTAATATTTTCAAGGGGCACAACTCTATGATATAAGTTTTGTAGAAATCTGGCAAGAATTGTACATATGAGAGCACTTACAATATAATTTTTCATACAATTAATATTTCAAAGGGGCATAACTCTTCTAAAAATAATTAATCAGAACTGATTTTCAAACTTGCCCCTGATATTGCATATATTTACCTGATTCAAGTTTTATAAAAATCTGGCAAGAATTGTACACATGAGAGCGCTAACAAGACAATTTTTCATATAATTAACATTCCAAAGGAGCATAACTCTTTTAAAATTAATTAATGGGCACTGATTTTTGAACTTGCCTGATATATTGCTGATATAAACCTATGATACGAGTTTCACAAAAATCAGGCATGAATTGTACACATGGGGGCGCTAACCAGGCATCTTTTTTGAAATAATTAATATGCAAAAGAGACTCTTTAAAAAATAATTGATCGGCACTGATTTTCGAACTTGTCAAGAGATATTGCTGATATAAACCTATGATTAAAGTTTTATAAAAATCTGGCAAGAATTGCACACGTGAGAGCACTAACAAGACCAGACAGACAGACGGGTGCCCCATATTTCATATGTGCAACACGTCACGCAGGGGACAATAATAATCGTAAAAAATGTGACATTATTGAAAGGTAGCTTATTTATTTGCTTAAATTCTTCACAATCAATTTGATGTGTAGTCAAATGACTGGTTGTCATAACAAGATACCGAGAAACTTGAGAATATATTATTTAAACAATACTAGTATAGGGTACGAGTCTTTTCCATTTTGGGGTGACCTCTTCCAAGAGAACCAGATGAAATGGGTGATGCAGCAAGGTGACTGATGAAATGCAGCCTGAAAGACAGGATCTGACTACAGACCAAAAATATGACGAGGAAAAGCGAGAACATAACTTTTTGCCCCAATGGATGTTAAACGTCCTTGGGTGGATTTGGATGAGGCAACTGGTTTCAATGTGGTGCAAGTATTGCTCAAATATCCCACACACAGTGAAAGGGAAAGAGCCCTGGTTTGGGATAAATATTAACTTAAAACTTGACCCAATAAAAAAATCATGCAACTACCCAAGCATCTACTTGTTCTATCTTGCAAAACACAGTGGTAAAAAGATGCTGACCCAAGTTTAAAAACAAAGTCGAGCTGTCATCTGACACTAAGTTAGGCCAGTGTGTCCTTATGCAGCAATTGAAACAAGAATAATTAAAACGGTACAAGGTGTTATTCAACACAACCTATACATAGTGCTGGGAAAAAGGGGAAGCTTTTTCGGACTATGATTTTTTTTTTAGAAGTTCACCAAATAAAACATGAGTTTGATGTAGTAAGACATGATGAGTACTTTGGAAGGGTAAGCATTTTCTGTTTTTATAAACTGAATTATCAATTAAAATTAAAATTGGACCTTCTAAGAATAAATTAGTCTTTTTGGTCAGAGGTCCAGGAACTTCCATTGGTTAAAATAAATTTGAACCCCTGTATACACAAACTTTCATTCTAATATAAATGCAAATTTATTTGCAAGTCATAATTTTGTATAAATAAATTATTATTCTGAACAAGCAACAGTAAGAAAAAAACTTTGTCTCAAATCATAACTTCCATAAACTCAAATTTAACTTTATCATTCTAGAAAAAGATTCAATCCTTTTCATGTACATTAAAACATTTCTCTTTTACCTGTTTGAGAATCAATTCCAAACTCTATTTTCATATCAATCAAGCTACAGTCCAATGAAGCCCAACATTTCTCTAGGACCTCAAACACAGTAACTGTGGTCTTTCTCATTATATCTAGTTCATCTGGACCAATCAGAATACCTCCCATCTTCAACTGTGCTTCTACACACTGTTCAAATGACCACTGAGGATCATGGTTAGCATCATCCTATAGATGAGATAATTCTATAAGATCTTGATTGTTAAACACAAAAATGTTCACTTCACTTTGAAACTAAGCAATAAAATATTCTCAAGAGTAGAATACAAAATAACAGCAGAACAAAATAGCATTATGAAACGTAAACATATCAGACCTTAAAACTGAACGATTCTGATATTATAGTACCTTATATTCCCCATCACTGTCCAAGGTTAGAGGGAGGGTTGGCACCTTTAACCCCGGCACATTCTGTATGTGCCTGTCCCAAGTCAGGAGCCTGTAATTCAGTGGTTGTTGTTTGTTGCTGTGTAATATATTTGTTTTTCGTTCATTATTTTGTACATCAATTAGGCCGCTGAATTGTTTAACATTTGTCATTTCCGGGCCTTTTATAGCTGACTATGCGGTATGAGCTTTGCTCATTGTTGAAGGCCGTATGGTGACCTAAAGTTGTTAATTTCTGTGTCATTTGGTCTCTTGTGGAGAGTTGTCTCATATGCAATCATACCACATCCTATTTTTATATGAATCACAATATGATTTTTCTTTAGGTTCTTCCATGCAATAACAGACTAAACATTCAATTTTACAAGGAAAATTGGGCTATTCTATATTATAAAGCAAATCCTGATCATATATACATGTAGCCAAAAACTAAAAGCAAAGTTTTATAATGAATAAATTTATATCATATTTATTATTGAAAAAACACCTCGTATGTATACAATTTAGGTCTGCTTGTTTGTCAAATCTATAATACAGTTTAAGCAATAAATTGATGTATATATGTACATATTTCATTTCAAAACAAGAATTATTTGAATCTGGAATAATTTTTAATTCTTGAAAATTGATAAGAAATGTATGATTAAAATAAACCCAATTAAAGAGGGTTAGTCATGCATGGATTAGTGGAGTTAGTGTGTTCATACTAAAATATCAGTGAAAGTAAAGTGAATTGTAGCTATGGGTACATGGCTAATCATATGTTTCTCATCAATTTTCCTGAATTCAAAATTATTATAGATTCATGAATCTAGTCAATATATGAAACATTCATATGAAGATTACAAACCTTGAAAAAAGTTTCTTGCTTTGGAGGGCAGAACCTATAGCCTTCTTTCACACCTACATTTCTTTTGAGAAAGGAACCAGTTGCTACTCTTCTGGTTACCCATTCAATTGGAATCATTTCACATTTTCTTGCAAGTATGGCTGTTTGGCTAACTTGTTGGATGAAATGAGACTTTATTCCTGTAATTTTATTTGTAAAGCGGTTTATACAATTTCATCCAGCTATATTCAAATATCAATTGGTATCTTAAATTCTTAATACTTTCTAAGGTTTAAATGTAAAGTTATTGCTGTTCATGTAAATGTTTTTGATGGCAGAATATTTTACATTTTTGGATATATCTGACAGTTTTCAGTGTTTCCATGTTCTTACAAAACTTTCATCTAACTTTTACTACATGTGTATGACTAAACATTTTTTTAAGGTGCTCTGTTCATTATTTATTGAATCTGTTATTGTAAATTCAGAAATTATTGGGTGCATATGATATATCATTGCGGTTTGGGGAAATGCTGCTGAAATTAATGCTCTTGACAATATTTACAATGCAGGTTTTTACTTTTGAAAAACATATTAACTTAATTTCATAATATTACTGCTGGTTTTCATTAAATCAAAAATTACACAAGTTTTTGACTGTAAAATATAGTATCAATGTAAAACTCATCTGAAAAAAACAAAAAACAAACTGAAATACACTATTTGCTGGATTTAAAATGTTCCTCTTGCATGTCTTGTGATGCTATGTGTGAAACTTAAAAACTGATAAAGAAATTTTCATACAAAAAGTTGAAATGAAACATGCTTGAATTAAAATCAAATATCATTCATCTTTAAAATAATTTCATTTAGTTTTGGAGACTCTCTTACCAACATCTTTCAGAAGAGAGAAGATGGCTGATGTAGTTGATGTGGAGATGGCAGCCTTCCCCTTCATGTCATGTGCCCGGTCACCATCACCTGCTGTGATCTTGTCTTTGGATTCCAGCAAAACATGTCCAGAGTGGCTGTCAAGGTTGTAGACCCTCTTTGTTTTACCTTCGATAATCAGAGAACCCAACTTGTATTCGCTTGGTACTGAAATCGGAAAGCAAGAAAATATAATATATCAAGTTATATGGATGTAGGCCATACAGTACAGTAAGCATGGTAAGTTTACTTATGCAAGATTTATGAGGGGCCTGATGGGGGGGGGGGGGGGGTCTCATCAAGATTCACGAGTTGATTTTTTTGTCAATCACGATTCACAGAAAATAAATTTCCATGATTGCGGATCACGAAAATATAAAAAAAAAATAAATCTGTAGAAAAACGGATCACAATAGCGAAAATGCGCCGATCACGAAGAACGAAAATAACCCATCAGGCCCCTCATTTATTACTAGATTGATTTTATCTACAATAAACAAACAAATATATACAACATGGGCATAGGAGACAGGGGAGGGGGGGGGGGGGGGGCACAAACTATGACTTTATGACAAAACCTTTTTGTATTGAAAATGAAATATGAAAATGAAAGAGGACACTGACTAAGACTACAGTGATGATTGTTTATTTTTGCTTGTCACATTCAGAAGTTTCCCCCCCCCCTTTTTTTGCCACGGGGCATAACCTAGGTTACAACAATTCCACCATTAGATCCTTCAAGGTATTCAAAAGATCTGAACCAGACGAGAAGGCTCTGCATAGTTTTTTCCCCCGTAACCAAAAACTGAAACAGTACTTTGTTGCAACTTGCAGGGTACAACTACAAGACGTATTTCTCTATTTATTGCAAAATTGCCTGGAAATTTTTTACATTTAAAATAAATTATTACAAAAATCCAAATCAAAATGAAATTCAAGATATAGTTGACACCATGCCAAATAATAATTACGGATTCAGAGCACTCCCTTACCTTTTTCCTCCATTGTCAAATTCGATTTCCCGCGAAATAATTTATTCCACGTGGTAGACCTCATTGTTCTATTTTTAACCACATTAGACCAAATAGTTCTTCTGTCTAATAAATGAGTCTAAATGAATGTCTAATAATAAAAAGGATTTGTGTTTGCTTAGTTTATTACAAAAATACTACAAAGATTTTATAGCAAAATTCTACGTTAAAACTGATTTCACAATTATCTTTTCTTTCTTTGCGGAGTGAGTTAAATGTGCGATCGAGGTCAAAGTTCACTAGTCATTGTTTTCAACAACATTTGAAGATGAATGATATGAAAACCTGTTAGGCTAACTACATAAGACTTTTCTCATATCAGTAAGTAATAAATCATTAAATGAAAATGAATACCAAATATTTGGCTGTAATCGACAAAGATACCGACACTGCTCTTCAATTTGAGAAGTTCCACTTGTTCCAATTAATCGTATCGGGATACCCAAAAATCAAGTGAACGTATATCATATAAAGTCATAATATTACGTCTTGAATATTATAAAGTTCTTTTCATATTTTTAACATTTGTCTACTAATCCATCTTCATTGTATTTAGTCCCAGGTCCTATTTATTCCTGAAAAAATCAAATTTCCATGATTTAAACTTGCATAAACATGAATTAAAATTTTTTATCGCTTAGAGGAGGAGTGCCATATATATGAGATCATATGAAACTCTTTCCAAAAAGTGCCACATGAAACGCTTATCAAAATCCGAGGTGGGTTAAGGAGGGGGAGGGGCCAGGGGTAATGCCTTGTTGGTGGACCCCCTTTTTCAAAATCCTGGATCCCCTTCTGGAATACACTATGGCTGTATGAATGCCAGTAACATCAGCTGGGAATGCATACAATGTGGTATGCCCAACTTCTCAACTAGTCTGTTTAACCACTCGACAATTGAAACATCAAATCTATATGACACATTGAATGATAACTCAGTATTGGGGAGCCCAGGTGCTCCAAAAGCCACATCCTCACCGATACCTAAACAATGTAAAAATAAAAAGAAACAGCGTACTACAAATAAAAACAGAAAACCTATTAGAGTTCTTAACATTAATTTCCAGTCCATTCGAAATAAAAAACCAGAACTTCTACAATTGATAGACTCTGCAAAACCAGATATCATCCTTGGTACTGAAACTTGGCTTGACAAAAACTCATCCTCCTTCGAATACTTCCCAACAGATCTTTATAACATCTATAGAACTGATAGACCACCAAGTAAAAACAACCAAAGCTATGGAGGGGTATTACTTGCAGTCACCAAAGAATTTATCAGCACAGAAATCCAAGAACTAAAAACTGACTGTGAAATCATTTGGGCACAAATAAACATATCGGGTGCAAAAAACCTTCTTGTTGGAAGTTATTATAGACCACCTTCAGATGATGGGAACTTCATAAAACAATTAGACTTATCATTAAGTAGAATAAATCAAACTTCAAACAGTAACATATTAGTAGGTGGCGATTTCAATCTAGGCCACATTGACTGGTCTGTCCCTGAGGTAATACCAGGGAAACCAGATCAAGAACAGCATAATTCACTTTTAGAACTACTATATGATCATAATTTACACCAAATAGTTAACATACAACACGAAAAGAAAGAATCTTAGACTTAGTACTCGTCAATAATCCATCTAACATTAACAAAGTCAGTACACTACCACCAATAGGCCTTAGTGACCACGACATTGTCTATGTAGAATCTGATATCTGGTTACGCAGGGTGAGAGAAAAGCCTAAAAAAATATTAAAATATAACAAAGCCAACTGGAGTAACATCAAGTCAGATCTAGAAAAAACATACAATGATCTACAAAACCTAGAGGACAAAACAAATGTAAATGATATGTGGAACACATTTAAAACAAATCTTACACAATCAGTGGAAAACAACATCCCACACAAGTTCTTAACATACAAAAACAGACTACCTTGGATTCATAACAACCTCAGGAAAATGATAAGTAGAAAAAATAAATTATATTATAAAATGAAACAAAACATCAAGTATGCAGACAAGTACAAACATCTGAAAAAACAAGTACAAAAAGAACAGAGGGAAGCATATTGGGGTTATATTGAAAAAATGATATTGGATCTACCCATAAATGAACCGGACCAACCATGTAACAATCAGTCAAAACCTAAAAAACTGTTCTCCTTTATAAAATCACTGTGCACAGATAACACCGGTGTAGCTCCTCTGAAAAAAGAAGGACAGTTAATAGCAGACACAAAGCAAAAGGCAGACATCCTCAACACACAGTTCCAATCAGTGTTTACAACCGAATCAAATAACAGCATTCCAGACAAAGGTCCAAGCTCACACCCCACAATAACACCACTAGAAATATCACTACCAGGTGTCAAGAAACTTCTACTCAACATAAACCCACATAAGGCAACTGGCCCAGATAACATCAGTGGCAGAATATTAAAAGAACTCAAAGATCAAACAGCTCCAATTCTTACAAAATTCAAAACATCACTTGAAACTGGCATAACACCAACAGACTGGAAACATGCCAATGTGGCACCAGTATTTAAAAAAGGGGAAAAATACAAGCCAGAAAATTACCGCCCAATATCATTGACATGTATTTCCTGTAAACTTATGGAGCATATCATCACCAAACAAATCATCAACCACCTTGAAAAGAACAATATACTGTATGACCTCCAGCATGGCTTCCGTCAGTCACGATCATGTGAAACCCAACTCATTTCATTCATCCAAGAGCTTGCAGCAAATAACAACAACAACACACAAACAGACTTAATTATAATGGACTTTGCCAAAGCATTTGACAAAGTCCCTCATAAAAGACTTCTCTATAAACTGAACTACTATGGTATTCAAAATGAAACACTAAACTGGGTCTCTGCCTTCTTAAATGACAGAACACAAACAGTTGTCCTGGATGGAGAGTCATCTGACCTGGCTCCAGTCACCTCAGGTGTCCCTCAAGGCACAGTTCTGGGCCCAGTATTATTCTTGGTATACATCAACGACCTACCAGAATACTTACAATCCAGTAAGCTCAGACTGTTTGCCGATGACAGTATCATCTACAAAACCATCAAATCTCAAAGTAACTGTGATGAACTCCAGTTAGATTTAGATGCAGCTGCTAGGTGGGAACAAGACGGTTGATGGCTTTCCATCCAGACAAATGCACAGTCCTCACAGTATCACAAAAGAAAAAACAGTTTAAACATGACTATATCCTTCACAATCACAAACTTGAACTAGTCTCTTCAGCTAAATATCTGGGCATTACACTTCAAGCAAACTTAAAATGGTCAAAACATACAGACAACATCATAGCTAATGGAAACAAATCTTTGGGCTTCTTAAAAAGAAATTTAAAAACATCATGTCAGAACATCAAAACCCAGGCATATCTGGCACTAGTTCGTCCTAAGCTTGAATATTCATGTTCAGTATGGGACCCTCACACAGCTGAACAAACCTCTAAAATTGAGATGGTCCAAAGACGAGCTGCCAGATATGTCTGTAACAGGTACCATAACATCAGTAGTCCTACAGACATGATAAACTCACTGAACTGGCCCACGCTACAAGAAAGAAGACTACGCACAAGATTGATAATGTTCTACAGAATAGTACATCAAATAGTAGCAATCCCATCTGCTATTCTCATACCATCAGACAGTAGAACCCGCAAAAACCATAGTTTCACTTTCAGACACATTTCTACTAAAAAAGATACATATAAATTTTCATTTTTTCCGTACACCATTACTCAGTGGAATTTACTACCAGTCCACACAGTCGCTGTAACCACAGTCGACACTTTCAGAGAACAGCTTACACCAACTGTTCTCCACAAATTCATTTAACTCATTATTAGCCTATGTACATAGTTTTAATCACAATTTAAAATTCTTACGCACTCCAAATTCATTTTCAATTATTTTTGTGTTTTTGTAAATATATATATATAGGCCACGCAGCGCAAAACAGTATATAATCTTCAGATATTGAAGGACTACTGAAAACCGAAAGAAGAAGAAGAAGAATACCTTTCTTAAAACATACGATGCTGCCCGGTAAATCCGCCCACATAAGGCTTTGATCTTCTGTATTTCTGCTAAATTATATACTAGGGGAAGGGGAGGGGGGGTAGGGGGGGTCCTGATCCCGAAATCCCGGGCTTAAAAACATGGAATCTCAAGGTCCCCAACTTAAAAAATTTAAATCCCGACATCCTGAAATTCGAAAAAATAATTCCCAGATCCCGAAAGGATCAATTCTGAAATCCCGAGCTTAAAAACACCCGATCCCGGAGTCCCGATAAAGGTACTACCACCCCTACTATTGTATCAAATTTAATATAAATCAATTCACTGACAAATCAATTTTGAGTAGTTTATACATGTATCATTTCCCCAAAAATATCGGAAATAAATTTTAGAATCAACAAAACAAGTGGGTCATCCGTGTTTTCGGAAATGTCCTCGCGCTCTAACGGGATGAGACACGACGTTTTCTTTCTTTGGAATTTGCAAAAAGACAGTATATAAGGCATTGAAACAACACCAATTCAGATATCAAAGTTTGACAAATCTAGCTGGTTCTGGTATTGAAACATCGCAGTGGGAAGACAATTTATCGCTGATCTATATGACCCCAAAGGCAAGGCTCAATCAGTACATGCTGATCTTAATAAACTGAGAGTGAAGTTAGCGCTATCTAAGGATGCTGCCTTAGTGAGACTACCTCCTTCAGAGGCATCATTCAGACAACACATTTTTAGAGTTTCACTACAAGTGTTAGTCTGGATGAATGCTCATATCGCCAAAAAACCACTCAGATCACCTCTGGGGTATGGATGGACAATAGGGAATATCTCCATAAATCAAGTATATTTTGAAGGGCCAATGTCTTTTGACTTTTTACAGTACCTTTTTAGCTCACCTGACCTGAAAGGTCAAGTGAGCTTTTCTCATCACTTTGCGTCCGTCGTCCTGCGTCCGTCGTCCGTAAACTTTTACAAAAATCTTCTCCTCTGAAACTACTGGGCCAAATTTGACCAAACTTGGCCACAATCATCATTGGGGTATCTAGTTTAAAAAATGTGTCCGGTGACCCGGCCAACCAACCAAGATGGCCGCCATGGCTAAAAATAGAACATAGGGGTAAAATGTAGATTTTGGCATATATCTCTGAAACCAAAGCATTTAGAGCAAATCTGACATGGGGTAAAATTGTTTATCAGGTCAAGATCTATCTGCCCTGAAATTTTCAGATGAATCGGACAACCCGTTGTTGGGTTGCTGCCCCT